ATCCTATAGTATTGGACATTCTTCAGAACTGAGTAAACTTCAGGCATTCGTCATGGCCATAGAGCACAGTCTCCTCAGATTGACTGAAACTGCACTATTAGAAAGACTAATGAGCCATTGTTAATGAGCCTAGTTATTCAGTCAGGCTATTGGATCCCCTAGGACAGAACTCTACACATGCTATTCTGAGGTAACCTTTGCCCAAGGAAATAGTTACAACTTAATCACAAACTCAGTTCTTATATTCTGTGTGTATGTGTCCATGAGAAGGAACCAAATCTAAAGGAAAACATTTGACATGAAAAAGCCAATTAACAATGTGTAACCATCATCTCTAGTTTAGTTTTGGGTCCCTCTTCAAATCCATCCCACCATGAAGGAACACAATGCCCAATAAGGAGTTTATTAAAAAGACATGGAAATCTTTAGGAAGCTGAGGTGTGAAAGGCCCCTGAGTCTAGGAGTTCAAGACCAGCCTGGGCATGATAGGGAGGCTGTATCTCTATAAAAATAAAACAATTAGCTGGCCATGGTGGCACATGCCTGAGGTCCCCGCCATTCAGAAGGCTAGGATGGGAGGATGGCTTCAGCATGGGAGGTTCAAGATGCAGTAAGCCATGATCGTGCCACTGCACTCCAGCCTAGGGGTCAAAGTGAGACCCTATCTCAAAAAAAAAAAAAAAAAGACATAGAAGCCACTGTTGTCCATCAAGCTTACTCTACTTGCCATTTAAGGCAGCCTCTTTGAAAACGACCTCCATAGTGCTTGTCGGTCCACTTTTCCCTAATTGTTTATAAGCTACAGGATACCATACCAAGCAAGGGCCCCTCTTTCATGGTTAAATTCCAACGTACCTAGAAGTTAGGGAGTAGAGAAATATATCATTTCAAGAGGAATAGTATACTCCTTTTTTCCCCTTTGCTTTGATCTCAGTGGATGGGTTGACACAACATATTGCTCGTTTAAAAGCATCAGATGGTGCTGCAGATACCCTCTTCTAACCCCACAGGTGGCCTATGATGGCAAAATGGTAACTTTGGGGTCCCCACGGAACTATCACTCCAGAAAAAAGACAACCTGACTCATCTCCACAGAGAAAAAAAGATCTGTTTGTCAGACGTGAACATATCTGATGCTGAGAAATGGTTGCAGGTGGATGTTCAAAGGAAGTGATAAATGACTTTCTCTTTCCTATGGCAAATATGGAACACGCATTCAAAAAAATAAAAAATAAAAAAAAAAGGTATCTGTGTTTAGCCAGGAAAAAGAGTTCATAATGTTAACTTAGGAGGATTTTGGTTCTACATCCTCATCCAACCCAGCTGACCTTACTAATATTAGTGACCTTACTAATATTCTTCTCTCAGACAGTACTAAGGAAATTGGTATGTTCAGAACCAGGTGTCAGACTTGGAGACTATAATAATGAGTCTCCAAGATCAAAGGGTGGACAGCAGAGAGACAAATCTTTATTTGTGAATGGTCCTGGCAATTTTCTTTCATCCTTCTTTTTGTGGTTTCACAGAGCTGGCTCACCAGGACTGTTTGACTCGCTGATACCAGCTACATTAGTATACAGAGTACCTATTTCCTTCTTTTTCCTGTAAGGCCATTGCCCCAACCAGGAAGCTCTGTGTTACATGGTTGATTAGGTGCTCTCTATACCCTCCCTATTCCCCTATAATTTTATAAAGTGATATGTGAGAAGGGGGTTCCTCTCAGGAGCCTTTTCTATGGTGAATCCAGCTTTTCTCAATCTAAGTCCATTTCTCTATGGAATAATGACAGCTTAGGGGATATTGTACCCTCTATTGCTTCCTAGATTGTACGGTTTCCTCCACAAAATCTACCTTTTGCCTACTATTTGGGTCACTAGTAATATGCCCCTTGTGTAACAGTTAACTGAGGATATTAAAAGCTCCTCTAGTCTAGACCTTTTAGTAATAATATAATTTTCATTTGTAGAAGTTTATTTTGGTAAAAATTGAAAAAAACTATTTTAACAGCTTTTATTTCACAACTAAATAATGCCTTTTCTTCACTGTTAATACCTTCCTTGGCCATCCAATCTAAATTATCCTTCCCTGTGACTGTCTGATGTGTAGTTTCATTATCTTCATTTATTAGTCTCTAAAATTATCTTGTTTATTTATTTTTGCTTGTTATTTTTTGTCTCTCCTGTTATAATGTAAGTACCACAAGAGAAGGCATCTTGTTTGTTTTTCAGGAGAACACAATACCCAAAAGAGTACTGGGCATACGAAGGTGACAAAAGTATCTGTTGAATGAGTTGGTGAATAAATGAGTAAATTTAACAGCTAATCATCTATGGAGAAAAAAATGGACACATACCAATATACTTCCCTTGTATGTTTTTGTGCTTTATAGCAAACTCAAGTAGTAATGGGGAGAAAAAAGTCCTAATGAAAGTATTTAGAAAGAAGAAGGTTGACTGTGTAACTCTTAAAAATAAAACACCATGAATTAGTTGACATACATTTCTAAAAGGTGTGAATTTCATTGCCGCAAAACATTTAAGCTAACAATGCACATGATGTGAAACAATACATTATTATTGTTTGATTAACTGTTTATCACTAACTCATTCCCTAAGCCAAAATAAACTGCTAAATGTTGTAAAGAGCAAAAATGTACTTTATTATAAGCAATACCATGTATCTGCTCAGGTGGGGTCTCCTTACTTCGCTCCCATCCACTCTCTGAAGGTTTGGGAGACTTTTCCAAAGTATTTCAGAAACTCTATTAGGATCTAAGAAGTAACCCAAAATGAAGGTTGATGAATAATATGTGGCATGTGCTTAATAGTTTGAATTTTTATTATGTTTAGCAATATAATATAATATATGATGATACATTATCATATATATAATATATATGATATATTATATTATATATAGTAATTAACCTAAAGCTATTAAGGGCAATTCTATAAAACCTATCAAGCGGAAACAACCTATTTCATCTCGTATTTCCCACTAATGTCCTAAGTCTAGAATCCGAGAAAAATGAATTTTTGGCCTTTTCCCGAGCACAGTGTATAGATTCCAAACATCGTCATCTTTGCCTCAAAGTAAAGTTCTGTCCACTTGGCACACCCTTTCTTCACATCTCCCTGTTAAAATCCAACCCAACCATCTTTATTAAATTAAATGGTATGTAATTCTTAATCCAGTCAGAAATAACTTTTCCTCTGTTTTGATGTAGCTTCTTAGTAATGTTTTATAGAATGCAACGTCTGCATTATACTCCACTTATTTTTGTACATGTCTAGTCGGCCCTACTAGACTGTTAATGCATTGAGGGCAATGACCATATATTTGAAGCCCTTTATATCTCATAATATCCATCACAGTGCCTTGCACAGCATGGATGCTGTTAGTGTTTCCTCATTAGAGCTAAACTGAATTGAAATGAATTAAAATAATCTTCCTCCTGAAGTTATTACATCAATTAACATTTCACATCAATTAACATTTCTAGGGAAAAAAGGGCATTTCAGATGAATAATTTGATATATTCATTCTATGATTTTTTCTTAATCTTGATGTCCTATATTCTCTATCATCCTCATTCTCTTATTCTCCATTGAGCCCTTCTTCCATTCTATCACTTCCAATTTAAATTCTAAAATGTGACTTATCAGAAAAGTAGAATGAGGACTGGACTAAGTAACATTAACATAACCCCTTAAGACTTTTCCAAATGCCCATGGAAAGTAACTGAAACTGCTTTATCACCGTCTTCATACAGACTAGAAACTATTTAAAATGCTTTTTTAAAGCCAATGTTTCTATTTTCTGAGATTTATCAATGTACACAGAGCCTATCACATTTATCAGCAGAAACTAAATGTTCAATTTTAAAACAAATTATATCAAAAGTTACCACCTCGTGTTCTTCAGGGTGATAAACTACTGGCTCTCCAGGATTTTCCAAAGCTATCCTTCACCATGATTACATGGAAAACTATAGTAGTATTACATGCTCTACCATAATCTGAGTATGAATATAAGAGCACCATACATTATTCCTTCCCATTTCTACACAATATGTAAAATGGCTAAGTTCCCATTACTGCTGAAGATAATTATTAATACTTTTCCTTATGCCTTTCCAAATGTTTATAATGCTGACCATACATTTTTAAAATATAAAGAAATCAGTAACAAGAAACCAAGCATAATAAGTTTACAGATCAACAAGTGGACCAATGTCTAATTTTCTCTTACATATTGTATTTAAAACACACAGTTTTTAGTATATGTTTAGTTAGTATTTAAAATACTTTTAAACATTCACTACAAACATTTAAAATGAACATTTTCAAAACTTCTGGCCATTAATCATTATACATATTGCCTAATTCTTGCTAATTCACCTGGGTCTATAATCCAGATATATTTAAAATGGTGATGAAGTACATAAATGCATACTTCTAGGTAATTCCTCTTTACTGCATGGTAATGTGAATCAAAAAATGCTGTGAATCAATCATAATATGCTAATCAGAGACTCACAAGTGAAAACTAAGATTGAATTGGATGAATCAGTCAACTCAATTATTTATGCACATGCATGTACATATGTATGTGTGTGTATAGTGACTGAGTTAAAATGAAAGGCAAAAAGGATTTTTAAATAAATTGTTTATGTATCTAGCTTATATATCTTGATAAACTAAGTTGAAAATAAGGGTTAGTTCCTCACTATTTGGAAATTTTAATTAATGTTGACAGAAAAAGTGTTTTGTACATAGACTTGGTCCTTAATTTATTTCATTTAATTTTGATTTTTGACTGCAAAGTTTCAAACATTTCCTACTTAAAATTAGTTTCAAATATAAGAGTGCAATATCATAGGAAAGATAAAAATCAAGGAGTTTTGTGATATTAAATTTAGAATCGTACTTTTCATTACTTGTGTATGTGAACTGATAAAGATTAGAAAACGAGAGAACTAATTTTTTAAAGTGTTTTACCTTTTTTCAATTGGTCTTCCACTTTGGGCAGAGATCTGTGATAAAGATAATACATTTAAATATATCAAGTACATATCAAGTATACATATAAAATGTTTACATTCAGTCATTTAGAAAAATATCACTTAAGGCAGTTTAATATGATAATTTTGTAAAATTAAGGTATCAAAAAAGCAAAGAAATTATCATATTTTAGCATTGGAAGAGACACTATAGAAGAGCAGGCCCTAAAATTACACTTATATTTTTAAATTAAAAGCAAAGAGGGTTTTATACTTTCAGTAAACAAAATTTTTTGAGTGAAAGAAAAGCGTGTTTATTAGAGCAATAGAGTACATGCAAATAGCTGCTCCATAGACAGAGCAGGGCTGCTCCACAGGCAGAGTAGCCCAAAATTCATTTTAAACTTATCTATGACATAACTATCTATTCCTTTTAAATATTCTTGTTGAAGGGTTTATAATGCTATTATATATAATAAACAGTGGTGGTACTCTTTGTAATTTATTTATTTTAAAATAGGTAGATTGAGAACACAAGCTCAAATATGTTTACAGAAGTATGTAACCAAAAACGTTAGGCCAGCCAGGCAAGGTGGCTCACACCTGTAATCCCAGCACTTTGGGAGGCTGAGGCAGGCAGATAATGTGAGGTCAGGAGTTCAAGACTAGTCTGGCCAACATGCTGAAATCCCATCTTTACTAAAAATACAAAAATTAGCTGGGTATGGTGGCGGACGCCTATAATCCCAGCTACTCAAGAGGCTGAGGCAGGAGAATTATTTGAACCAGAGAGGCGGATGTTGCAGTGAGACAAGATCATGCCATTGCACTCCAGCCTGAGTGTCAGAGTGAGACTCTGTCTCAAAAAAAAAAAAAAAAAAGTTATGCAAGTGGCCTTCAAAGTGTGATTTTTATTAATAAATTACCTCTTGTGAATATAATACAAATTTTTCTATAATATAAATGTTGATTCTAGGTTTTATTCCAGATCTGATTTTCATCTAATTCAGCTTCTTTTATGCAGAGATTAACTGGCTTTATCCTTATCCCCCTGTGGCAAAGACTTCTAAATGGTCAACAAACTAATTTTATCTTCTTAGACACATTTTTAGTCTACATTTTTAAATTCCCTCTGTAGTTAAATGTAGCAAATAGAATGTGAGAAAAAATGATGTGTGCCTCCTCCGGCCTGGTCAATGAAAATTACTTACGTTTGTCCTCCATATTCTTTTCTGAGAGCTAGATAACTATACCCAGTGTGGCTTAGGAAGCCACATCTAAGAATAAAACTTCCACATGTCAGGATGCCTAAACTCTGTGGAGCAGAACTCCCTACCACAAACACTGGCCTTGAACATCCCTGGACTATTAACACCAGGAAATAAGCTTCTATTGTGTTTGAGCCATCATACATTTTGTGTCTCTGTGTCACAATAGTCACAATAGTTATCCTATATACTAACTAATAAATCACCAAGAATTTTTAGCCTATGTAGACAACTCCTACTGAGCTAAATAGGGATGCAAAATAACAGTTACATAGGGCTTCATGATATACAAAAAGCAGTTTACAAGCATTATCTTATTCTACCCTCACGGTATTTTTTTTTTTTTTTTTTGAGACAGGGTCTCATTCTGTTGCCCAGGCTTGAGTGCAGTGCCACTATCTGGGCTCACTGCAACCTCCACCTCCCAGGTTCAAGTGATTCTCCCGCCTCGGCCTTCTAAGCAGCTGGGATTACAGGCACGCACCACCATGCCTGGTTTTTAATTTTTTTATTTTTAGTAGAGACAGGGATTCACCATGTTCGCCAGGCTGGTCTCCAACTCTTGATCTCAAGTGATCTGCCCACCTTGGGCCAGAGTGCTGGGATTAGAGGCATGAGCCACTACGCCCAGCCACAGTACTCTTATAAAGTATTATCATCCTCCATTAACAGTTTATAGATAATTATGTATAGTTCCTGACAGAAATAATAATTCTTGCTCCTCCCTCTGAATTAAAAAAGATTATCATTTCAATAAACAACCTCAAAAACAGTTGCAGAAACAAAAAGGAACTACTTTTCCAACTTGTCATTAGGATGTATATATGACAGCCCTTTTGTGTAATATAGCATCTAGTTGTAGAAGTTCCAAATATTTTTCCTTTACTTGTAAACTTTTGATGTCTATTCCCTAAAGCACAGGATGATAAGGTGGCTTCACTGTGAAGCCCAGACCCAAGGGCACTGAGACCTTCCCACCTCAGGGGAGAAAGCCTGCTCTTGATATTAACAATATCCAGCCAACCAAGGGCATTATGATACCCAGGAGAGCTCTATCAGCAGAAAAAATTAAATACATTTATACTTACAATATACATAAAAACCTTACTAATTATGGGATCAATAAAAGGGAATGACACATCTACCCCAATGATGTACAGTTATTTTCTTTAAAAACAGTATCTTGCATGTTATTCCTTTACCCAGAAATTTTCTTTTCTGAAAATTGAAGACCAAACAGCTTGATTTAGTATTCGATTCAGGAATTTTCACAACCTCATACCTATTAATACTCATAGTAGGCAGCCTCTAAAATGACTACCAGTGATCCCTGCTCATGGTATTCATGCTAGAGGTATACCATTCCCTGTGTGTAGGCTGGCGCTAGTGACTACTTCTACTTTTAATTAGTAGATGACAAAAGTGATGGGATTTCATTTCTGAGATTAGATTATCTCTGTCTCTTTCTCCCTGTCTCTTTCCCTCCATCTATGTCTCCCTATATCAGCCCTTGTTCCCATGTTGTAAACTGCATTATGGAGAGGGCCTATAGCAAAGTACTGATGTCTCAAGTCAACAGCAAGGACCCGAGGCCTAACAATAGTCACGTGAGTATACGAGCTTGGGAGTACATCTTTCTCCAGTTGGACCTTAAGATACACACAGCCAAAGCTAATGCCTTGGCTACATCCTTGTGAGAGGGACCCTAAGCCAGAGGACACTAGGATTCCTGACCTACAAATATTCTGAGATAATACATGTTTGCTTTCTACACTGCTAAATTTTAGTGTAATTTGTTATGCTGCAAAAAAATAACTGAAACAGTACTTTTTGTTCCTCATTTATCTTTTAACCAGATAAATTTTAGGAAACGGAGAAGGGAGAAACTGTTTCAAGCAGAGAACAAAATAGGCAAAATATTTCAGGTTACAGAAAATACCATATGTTCTATGAACTTAAAGGAGGTTCAGTGTAGCTAAAGCATAAAATATACAACACACGTGTGCATATGAAAGCATGTGCAATAGCTTAGGGGGTTAATTAAAGATGAGGCTGGGATCTCAAAAAAAGACCAGATCTGAAAAAGCCTTAAACCATAATTAGGGTTTTGTTCTTAAAGTAAGGGAAGTAGAAAGCATTAAATATTTTAGACAAGAAGGTAACAACCATCAATTTTTGAAAGATGACTAGCTACCAACATGGAGATTGGCCTGGAAAGAAAGACCAATTAGAGTCCTGGTGGGAGCTTGACTACCAGAACTGTCAGTAATATTGAGAAAACTGGACAGAATTTGATGGATAATAATAGGATCAAGACATAGGAGAGGAAGAATTAACAGTGATGTTAGACTTTCTAGTTTCAGCAATTAGATGGATGAGGATGCCAGGAGACTGAATATTGGGAGATAAAGCAGGTTTGAGAAGAAAGCAATTGGTTCATTTGAGGACATGGTGAATTCTAGATGTTTGAAGCCCATTTAAACAGAAAAATTCAGTATGTTAATGAACAATAGGTCCGGAAATTAGGTGCTATTTGAGTGAGAGCTAAGAGATTTATATGGCACTAGAAGCCATGAAGGTATATGAGCACTCTCAGAAAGAGTATATGGAATAAACAACTCTTTTTTTTTTCCAGAAAAATACCAACATTTAAAGAATGAGCAGAGCAAGAGGAGACCAAAGAGGTGTCCCAGAAATATAGAAGGAAAACCAAATAACTATGCTGTTTCTCAAACAAACTATAGACTATATTTAAAAACAATAAATGGTTAAATGCTACTAAGAGGACAAATAAGATAAAACTATAAATCATCTGGCTGAGCATGGTGGCTCATGCCTTGTAATCCAAGCACTTTGAGAGGCCGAGGTGGGTGGATCACCTGAGGTCAGTTCAAGACCAGCCTGGCCAACATGGTGAAACACTGTACTAAAAATACAAAAAAATTAGCCAGGCATGGTGGTGGGCACCTGTAATCTCAGCTATCCAGGAGGCTGAGGCAGGAGAATCACTTGAATCAGGGAGGTGGAGGTTGCAGTGAGCTGAGATCATGCGCTGCACTCCAGCCTGGGCAACAAGAGTGAAACTCCATCTCAAAAAAAAAAAATAAGAGAGAAAGAAAAAGAAAACTATAAAGTATCCTTCAGAATAGCATCAAGTAGATTTGTTATAACCTTGGCAAAAATAGTTTTAATACAGTGGTTGAGAAAGAATATTACAGTTAAATTACTATAAGAACATGGATGGTGAGTATAAACTTCTATTAAATAAAAATCTCCAATAATAATAACCCCTGTTTCACTATTACCAGAACATTATGTACATCTTCTATGCAAAGAACCTAGCATATAGTAAATGTACAATGAGTGTTAAGCTAGATATGTAAGACAGGTGTGTATTGATCTATATATAAACTCACTAAAAATTACAATCACGTGAAAGCAATGTGATGTTTTTAGGTAATGAAGTTGTTCCTTCTGTTCAGGTTCATTTTATTACTGAATCTAACTTTTTCTGTCATGTAAGAAAAACTTCACTTTGGATTTAGGGGATAAATATGGGAAATGTAAAACAATAAAGCTATTAACAAAGCAAGTTTCAAATCCAACCATATAGACAAGCAAAGAAGTTATCTTTAGATGTGATTTTTGGATCTAGAAAGACCTGAATTTGAAATCTAACTCAGTATTACTCACTGTAATGTTGCATGTCTAATTTTTTAAAGCTTTGGTTTCATCCTCAAAATGGAGGTGCTCATAGCTATCTTATGGTCTTGTGTAAATAACCAGCCCATATAAATAAACATAAAAATGACTAGCATATTTTATAACAATCACAGATATAAAATGACTAGCACATTTTATAATAGCAGATATAAAATGACTAGTAGATTTTAAGTTGTACTGCTTCTTTTGTTCTTTGTCTTAAAGCAGCATCCGATATTTCTTCAAATATTTGTTTTTTATTCAATTCAGTGTACCCTACTCCATTTATATACATGACCTAACAACTTTAATAATTTTGATTGCCCTCAGAGAAACTGTCTTTATTATTTATCTTTCCAGGAAGAAGTTAAGATAGTTCACAATAAAAATTATACACAATAAGAGAAGGTAAAAATAAAGGACTCAAATCTCAGATGCTTATGTGGTCATTCAAAGATATGTGTATATTTAAGTCACAATTTGGCATTAAAAATAATAATGAGTTGACATATCCAGAAGGTAAAGGGCAAAAGTAAAAACAAACCCCCCAAAAAGGAATAATTTTTAAATAACATATACAAATTAAGTAAATAATAATATGAAAGATAAATTTCTCACAACATATATTACTGTCTCCATTTTGGTTATTTTCTTACCTGTGGATATTCTTGGATTTTATCATTTGTCCTTTGTCCACCTGAATCTGGAATCAGTGATTTTCTTGTTTCTTTTTTCAGTGGTATATTTTTTGAATCTTCACCTTTAACTTTTGTTTGATTATTACCCACTTCCATTGTTGTCTCGATTTTCCCCTCACTTTTACGTAACTTCTTATCTTGACTTAGGAAATAGTTAAGTTGATGCTTAGCTTTTTCAGCTTCCTGTTTTAAAAAAGTACCAGTTTATCAAGCATTTTCTGATATTTTCTGCCAATACTACTGCATTCAGGAATTTACATATATTTATGCGTACGTGATTTCTCAATTCATTTTTACTGAGTTAAAGGGAGCAAAGTTAAGCTACTGATATAATTGATACTTTAACAATTCCACAGTTAAAACCAAAAGTTGTGAAGAAACCTCTTCCACCTTTGAGGGCTATTTTTATACCCAGGAGTTTCTCCTGGCTGTTATTTTTTAAGGCTCTAATTATTATACAAGCAAAATAAAAATTCATATAAGGTATACATTATAAAAACTGATAGACTATAGCAAAGATAACACCTACAATATCAAAGAATGAAATAAAATGTAGAGAACAATTTATTCTGGAATAAATGTCTCCTTAAAAATGTCACTTTTTATAATTTTAGTTACATAATTAACTTACCTAATGCTGAGTCCAGCTCGGTCGTAGAGACCCCAACGGACTTAAGAAACAAACACAAAGATACAGTGCAAAGTGGGGTCGGGAGCTAGCAGCCTTCTGAGCTGAGAGCCTCCAGCAGACTCTGACCCATGAGTTTATTCTCTCTGAACAGGTGAGTATTATTAAAACTCAGGTGTTCTGTGTTTTCTCATAGAACAAAGATAAACTAGGGCAGCTGGTGCCTGCTTACCACTGATCAAAAACAAACTAGAAAGCATTCTCCATGAGGGAGCAGTGGGGGCAGGATCACAGATCCTGTGTTTAAAGAATTGGTTTAACTAGTGTATGATATGCATATACTGTTCACTATTTTAAAATGCCCTGAGCAGTTTTCTGCTTAGGGGCTGGCTTGGTCTCCTTGCTGTCATTCTCAGTAAACAATATAATCAATCACACACGTTAGGACTTGTCCCAGCAACTTATATGAAAGAATATATAGATAAACAAAAAGAAAATTAACAAATAATCTCACCTCATAAAGAAAAATCACTATTAACATTTTGAGGTATATCCTTTTTAAATTTTTCTGAATATAGTTAGTGCATATATATATCTTACATATGTCATATATATAAGATACATCTATACACATATATAGATATAGATATACATGGATTTTTTGCAACCTCTGTCTCCTGGGCTCAAGTCATCCCTCCACTTCAGCCTCCCAAGTAGCTGAGACTACAGGCCCATACCATCACATCCAGTTTTTTTATTTTTAGTAGAGACAGGGTTTTTCCACGTTGCCCAGACTGATTGCAAACTCTTGGGCTCAAAGTGATCCACAGTCCTCAGTCTCGCAAAGTGCTTGGACTACAGGCATGAACTACCATGCCCAGCCAAATTTTTTAAATGTTTATCTAGATTGGGTCATACTATACATACTCACATAATATGCTCTTTTTATTAAATGATGTCATAGATATGTTTCTATAACATAAATATACATTTAAATCAGAATAGGTAACAGAAATACATTTAATAATATACCATAATTGGCTTAGCAAATTCCTTATCAATGGACAATTAGATCATTTCAAAATTTTTGCTATTAAAACATATGACATTGTACATACTTGTGCAAAATCTCTGTATACTTTTTTCTTCTTTAGAATAAAATTTTAAAAGATTTTATTGAGTGAAAAGGATACATCTTTTCAAGTTTGCTATGTCTTTTTTGTCTCCCAGAAAAGACATAAATATCTTTCATACTTCTGTTATCAAACATCTATGAATATATCAATTCATATTTTTTTGACAATAGAAGTATGTGAAAGGTTGCCCATTTCAGCATACAACCATAAATACTACGTATTTCTGTAGTTTTTACGCCTTACATTTTTACCAAGATGATAGGCAAAATAAAAAATCTGTACTACTGTATTTTAAATGCATGTATTTGATACTAGTGAGTTTAAATATGTTTGCATGCATTTATTGGTAATATGTATTTCTGAAACTTGCCTATGCACATCCTTTGTCTATTTTGGGGGATGGCTATCCATATTTATTGTAGGTTTATAAAATTTCTTTATTGCATAAAGGAATATAAAACTATTAATATTGACCACCATTCACCAGCATTTACAATAAAGTAAACAAAATACAGTTAGGTAGCATTCTGATTACTACAAAGTTGTTTTTCCTGGCTTCTGCTGAACAAGTAAAGCAAATACTGAAAAGACTGAGCCTACATGTAAGGAATGAGTCAGGGTAAAGAAAAAACATGCAGGTCAATAGTTTAGATGACAAAAGTTTATTCACTCTTTTATGGCAGCAGGTCCTAAACTGCCAACATCTCTAACCCATCTGATTAGGTTTCTATACACCAAGTCTTAGGTATTCAATAAATCATGAGCTTTAGTCCATGTAGCAACAGAGATTTCAACTTTTTGTTAAGGAATGGATTCGCTAGAGCAATGTCCAATTAACTAAGTCTTGGTTAGCCAATTAAAACAAACTAGGATTTGTCTAGTTTTCTCATCTGAATGGGGAGGTTGTTGACAGTGATAAAAGTTTTCCTTTTAGGAATTTTGCAAACAAACCATAGTATATATAGATACGCATGCTTTTAAATTATCCAATTAAACTTAATTAGAATTAATTAGAACCATTTCACTTGAAATGTACTGCTTCAGGAAATTTTTCACTGTGACTTGATTTATATTTTGGGTTGCTCAGACTGATGGCATCTCAGAAATATGGACTAACTTGTAATTTTTGTTTTGGCAATTGTTTTTTTAAAAAAAGAAAACTATTTACAAATTTTTTTTTATGTATACACAAACACACACACACAAAACAAAAAACGCAGAATGGCCCTTAGGCATATAAGAACACAAGTTCTGATTGAGTAATGACTATGGAAATTTCCCTGAACCTTTAGAAAAACTGTTCTCTAATGCAGAGGAAATAATATACCATGGTATCAAATGTTCTTTTCTAATTAAGGAAGCAACTACCAAAAGTTTTTATTTGTTCAAAGTAACCAGTGCTAGTCACACAAAAACAAACCTCCAAAAAAAAACCTCTCAACACTACTTTGAAAACAAACGTATCAATCTTGTTATTTCTTCATACTAGAAAAGCAAAAACCAAGATCCAGATTTTATATAAAACAATGGAAACAATTATATGTATACATATATGTATATAAAACAATGCAGACAATTATTGAGCTTCATCTCCTGGTCAAGAATGCCAAGTTAGTCTCTGTTCATAAAAAGCAGTATAACTGGAGGTTACTTCATATTTGCCTCTTCTGCCAGTATAAAGTCTGCCTCATCATCTTGCCATTTCATGAGAAACATCAATTCTCCACTGCTGTCTGTGACAATTATTCTTTTAGAATCAAGACCTCTGGTAAATCTTGATTTGTCAGCAGCATCTCTTTTCTTCTTTGATTTCCTGTCATCAGATTCATTGTCAGATAAAGATTTTCTTTTTATATCATCTTTTTCTTTACCAGCATTCTGAGAATTAAGAAATGCTTTAATTATCTCTGTACAGTCTAAATTTTCTTCAGGTTCCCAAGTACTGTAAGCATGTATAAATCCCTTCCACTTAGGAAATATTCCACTTTCCCATCACTGCACGTTGATCTAGTACTTTTTCCAACACAAATTCTTCAAGTTGTGCCTCTTCAACTTTTTCATCCTTTCCATTCTGTTTCTCATTTTTTGCAATGCAGTTTTATTGGAGGCCATTTTTATCGCAAATTTGAAGAGTTTACCACTTCTGAGATGCTTTGGGTGGCAGGTCTGTGGCAACTCTGGCCCTGTGCACCTCAAGCTTGAGCCACAAATATCTTCATATACAATATCTTCATATGCAGATAAACATAAAGGGGCAACATATCTTTACATAAAACATTTTACACACACTTTCCATTTATCTTTATTTCTTATGATTTTTCTAACATAAAAAAGTTTTAAATTCATATATAGCCAAATACATTAACATATTCCTTTGGGATTATAAAGCTTAAAAGTCTTTTCTCTAATCAAGACCATCTAACTGTTACCAGTGTTTCTTCTAACATTTATTACTATTTAATCTTAAATCAATCTCCAATTTATTTTGATATATTATCTGAAAGTGTACGTTTTCCCACTAATTCACTTTGTGTGACTATTTTATCCTTCTTTAAAAATTTTTAATAAATAGTTTATAAAATACTAAATCATTATATTGATTTGAATCTGTTTTTGGACTTTCCATTCAATGCCAGAATCAGAACCACAGTGTTTTGGTTATTGAAGTTTTACATGATTTATTGATTTTTTTGATAAGAAAATCTTCTTGTTTTTCTTTTGTATAATCATCAGTTTCTTGTCTCATTATATTTTATAATATATTTTTTTGAGACAGGATCTCTCTCTGTTGCCCAGCCTTGAGTGTAGTGGCCTAATCAGTGCTCACTGCAGCCTCAAACCTCCTGGGCTCAAGTGATCCTCCTGCCTCAGCCTCCAGAGTAGCTGGGACTATAGGCACATCCCACCACACCTGGCTAATTTTTTAAAATTTTTTGTAGGGACAAGGTCTCACTCCATTGCTCAGGCTGATCTCAAACTCCTGGGCTCAAGAAATCCACTCGCCTCAGCCTCCTAAAGTGCTGGGATTGGTTATATATTATAAGGCCCCTGCACCTGGCCTTACAGTAATTTTATTAAACTCAAGAACAATTTCATTTATATCTAAAAATAAATTGCTTTCAGTTTGTATAACTGTTTTGAGAAATAGAAAATTAAAACACTGATAACACTGAATGCTCAAAACTAAAATTATAAATTTCTATTTATTCACTGTTGATCTGTGTCTCTTGGTAAAGTATTTTATTTTTCTTAATATTAAACTGTGTATTTCTTATTAAATATCTTGTATCACTCTAAACTAATATTACAAATAAATATATATTACATTTTATAAAATGATATATTTGAACATTTTCTAAATTATCGTTTCTAATAAAAAGGAAATCTGTTGATTTATTTTCTCTATTCTATTCTAAAACCTATTCTATTTTGCCCTCACTCACCTTTTTAAACTCTATCACTAATAACTAATATCTTGAATTTTTCAGAAAAACAATTTTATAATAAACAAATGATTACACTTTTGTCCATTCATGAAATGTTTACAGCTTTTTTTCATTTCTTGTTGTATTATTCAACTAGAATTTTTAAAAGAGTAGTAAGAGCCACCATCTTGGTTCAACTGAGTTTAACTGGAATGCCTGCAGTAATCTACCTTTAAGTATAATGCCTATCAGCTTGAAATACACTGCCATTTTTTTCTTTTTCTTTTTTTTATACTGCAACCATGACAGATGAATAGATTGCCTTTATTAGCTTAAGAAAATTTACTTTTCTATCTCACTGTTTTTTATAAGAATAAATACTAAATTTTGTGAATATATCCCTAATTCATAAATAAATATAGTTTAAACCTGACCAAATAGTAAAAGTATTCATTTGAAAAGTTCTTTGTGGATATTTTCTTTACTTGTTAACAATGTTAAAGAAACATGACATCCTTTACCTGTAAAGCCTGTTTCAATTGCTCCTGAAGGACTTTGTTCTCAATTTCCAGAGCATGTGCCACTTTCTAGGAAGTAATAAGTGGTAAAAAAAAAAAAAGGTATTTACATTGGTATTTTTAATTAATTTAGTGTACCATTATTACTTTTCTAAAACCCATAGATAGCCAAGATAAGATTCAAGCATACACATTGAACTGCACACCTCTCAGGTGTAATGGTGGATAATAGCTGAAGCTAAAGCTTCCTATTGATTTTTCACAGGCAAATTGAGCATGAATCTGGCAAATTACAATTGCAGTAAATTAAATGTTTCATTTATCCTTTCCTCTAGGCCCGAAATATATAAAAGAAACATCTCAAATTTTACTAAAAGAAGAAACTCTACTCTTAACACAAAATAAATATTGTTCTGTCTTTGTGAGAATGAGTAAATTCTACTACACATGAAGTCTCAGGAATTCTCCACCAAATTAAAGACACTTTGAAGACTGTATTTAGAGTTCCCAGCTTTGCTTTTGATGTGACTAAGTTCCCACTGAACAAATACTACCCCACATAACAACCATAAACTCTGGACTAAATACAAGTATCAACAAGAGGAGAACAACCAAGAATAGGCAGATTTTTTTTTTATTTCTTTTTATTTATTTATTTATTTATTTTTTAGAGCAGGGTCTTGCTCTGTTACCCAGGCTAGAGTACAGCAGTGGGTTCCTAGCTCACTGCAGTCTCGAACTCCTAGGTTCAAGCCATCCTCCTGCCTCAGCCTCCCAAAGGATGGGTATTACAGGCATAAGCCACCACAACCAGCCAAGTGTAGGTAGATTCTTGAGGGAAGGTGATACTTGGAGGAAAGGAAGAATTCTAGGTAAGATTCTCATTTTTATGGCTTTTAGTTTCAGGGCAATCCCTATTTGAGTCATTCAAGGTGCCTAATAGCTGACTTTAAAACCACTAGAGTTCAGGACAACCCAAGCCACTGGAAAGGTTAGAGGGAAATCATACAAAGAAAAGAAGATAAGATAAGGAGCCCCAGATTTTTTATATAAACTCTACCAAAATATCCACCTGACCCCTGAACCACATCTGCATACAGAAGACTAAGAAGTCTAGCAAAAGCTAAAAAAACTAAAATGCAATTTGAGCTGCTGCCTGAATATAGAATTTACATTTTGAATCCAATGGTGTTAATTATATATTAAAGAAAAAACAATACCAATCATCAGAAGAATATAACATAATCTAGGGTTTCAAGAATATGATATTTGTAATACCCAGGATATAATTTAGAAATACTTGACATCTGAAACTTTTTATTAAAAGACAATGAACAAAAAGTGATCCCAAGCAAGACAATCCAGATTTTAAAATTCACATATAATATGTTTAAAACAAGTATAATAAAAATGTCCAGTGTAAAAGAAAATATGCTCATAATAAATAAAATGATACAAATCTTACCAGAGAAATATAAACTATAAAAAATACATCCCCGCATCTATAATCCCAGCATTTCAGGAGGCCAAAGTGGGAGGACTGCTTGAAGCCAGGAGTTCAAAATCAGCCTGGGCAACACAGTGAGACCCTATGTCTATAAAACAAATTTTGAATTAGTCATGCATGGTGGTACACACCTATAATCCTAGCTCCTTGGGAGGCTGAGGCAGGAGGATTGTTTGAGCCCAGGAGCTCAAGGCTGCAGTGAACAATGATCCTGCCAATGTACTCCAGCCTGAGTGATAAAATAAGACCACGTCTCTTAAAAAAAAACAGTCAAATGGAAATTCTGAAACTGATAATCATAATATCTGAATTGAAAATTTAATGTATGAGCATAGGAACAGATTGGATCTGATGACAGTGGAAAAAGTCAAACCACTTGAAAATATATCGATACAAAATACTCAATCTAAATACAAACAACAAAGTTAACTAACAGATACTGAGGAAAACTGTGGGATAAAACTAAATATATAATATGTAATTGTATTCCACAAGGAAAAGAGAAAGAGGAAGTTGTAGACAAAATATTTTAAAATAATAATACATTTAAAATGTTCCAAATTTGGTGAAATTTACATATTCAGCATGTTCAGTTCTGCCCAAGTTGATATTTACAAAGAAAATCAAGCCCACACAAAACAGAATCAAACTGCTGAAAAACAAACAAAAGGGAAAAAAAAATAAAAGCAGGCAAAGAAAAATGACATATTACACAAAAGGAAATGATGACTTTAATAACTGCTTCTCATCAAAATTAAAGCCAAGCAAAAATGGAAAACTACCTTTAAAGTATAGAATAAATGCCCCTTTTCTGAAACAAAGTTATTTTAAGAAACAAAAGAGGATCCAAGATGGCCAAATACAAACAGCTCTGGAGTGCAGTTCCCAGCGAGAACAATGCAGAGGGTGAGTAATCACCACATTTCCAAATGAGTTTTTACTGCCAACAGACCTGGAGATTCCTGTGCAGAAAAGCACAATGAGTTTCCTGCAAGGCTGTTTCAGCCTGCACAGTGGGTCTACACAGAAAAATTCACACAAATCTGGGCAGCTGTTTCAACTGGCACCTGGAACACGTGGGAGACAGAGCTGCTCATTCAACTGGAAAAAAAGGGGGCTGAAACAGGGAGCCAGGTGATCTAGCTCAGTGGGTCCCACCATGACAAAGACCAGCAATCTGAAACACTGGATTGAGAGTTTCACAGTAAGCACAGCTGGACCCAGGATGGTCCAGCTCTGTGGGGGGAAAGATGTCTGCCACTATCAAGGGAGTCCACCACTACCGAGGCAGTCCACTATTGCCCAGGCAGTCCGCCATTACCGAGGCAGCCCACTATTACTGAGGCACCCCGCTATTACTGAGGCAATCCACCATTACCAAGGCACTCCGCTATTACTGAGGCAATCCGCCATTACCGAGGCAGTCTGCCATTACTGAGGCAGACCACCATAACTGAGGCAGTTCTAACTATACCTCTGTAAACAAAACCACAAGGAAGCTCACACAGCAGCTAGGCAGAGCCCATGGTAGCTCAGCAACATCTCTGCTGGCAGACTGTGACTAGGCTACTTCCTTTCTGGGCAGGGCATCTCTGAAAAAAGGCAGCAGCATGAGAGAAAGTTATAAATAAAGCCCCACCTTCCCAGGACAGAGCACCTGGGGAAAAAGGCAGTTATGAGTTCCACTGCAACAGACTTAAACGTACCTGCCCAGCAGCTCTGAATAGAACAACAGAGCTCCCAGCACAACACTTGAGCTCCAATAAGGGATAGACTATCTCCTCAATCTGCTCCCTGACCCCTGTATATCCCAAGAGACACCTCATAAAGAAGAGCTCCGGCTGACATCTGGCGGGTATCCTTCTGGGATGAAGATAACAGAAGAAACTGGCAGAAACCCTTACTGTTCTGCAGCCACTGCAGGTGATCCCCAAGCAAGCAGGGTCTGGAGTGGACCTCCCTCAGTCTTACAGCAGTGAGGCCTGACGGTTAGAGGGAAAACTAAAAAAGAGAAAGAAATAATCTCAACATCAACAAAAAGGACACCCACTCAGAGACCCCATCCAAAAGTCACCAACTACAAAGACCACAGGTAGATAAATCCACAAAGATGGGAAGAAACCAGCACAAAAAGGATGGAAGATTTACCAAACAAATGGAGGAAAAAAAAAAAAGCAGGAGTTGCAATAGTAGCTTCTGATAAAATAGACTTTAAACCAGCAAAGATCAAAAGAGACAAAGAAGGGCATTACATAATGGTAAAAGGGTCAATGCAACAAGAAGAGCCAATGGTCCTAAATATATACACACCCGATAGAGGAGCACCCAGAAAAATACAGCAAGTCCTTAACCTACAAAGAGACTTAGACTCCCACACAATAATAGTGGGAGACTTTAACACTCCACTGTCAATATTAGATAGATCAATGAGACAGAAAAATAACAAGGATATCCAGGACTTGAACTCAGATCTGGACCAAACAAATGTAACAGACATCTACAGAAATCTCCATCCCAAATCCACAGAATATACATTCTTCTCAGCACCGTGTCAAACCTACTCTAAAATTGACCATATAATGGGAAGTAAATCACTCCTCAACAAATGCAAAAGAACAGAAATCATAACACTCTCTCAGACCGCAATGCAATCAAATTACAACTCAGGATTAAGAAACTAACTCAGAACCACACAACTGCATGGAAACTGAACAACTGGCTCTTGAATGTTGACTGGATAAACAATGAAATGAAGGCATAAATAAAGATGCTCTTCGAAACCAAGAATGAAGACAGAATGTACCAGAATCTCTGGGACATATTTAAATCAGTGTCTAGAGGAAAATTTACAGCAATAAATGTCCAGATGAGAAGCAAGGAAAGATCTAAAATTGACACCCTATCATTAAAATTGAAAGAGCTATAGGAGCAAGATCAAAAAAAACTCAAAAGCCAGCAGAAGACAAGAAATAACTAAGATCAGAGCAGATCTCAAGGAGACAGAGACACAAAAAACCCTTCAAAAAATCAATAAACCCAGGGGCTAGTTTCTTGAAAAGATAACAAAATATGCCACTAGCCAGGTTAATAAAAAAGAAAAGAGAGAAGAATCAAACAGATGCAAGAAAAAATGACAAAGGGGATATTACCAGCGATTCCACAGAAATACAAACTACCATCAGAGATTACTACATACAACTCTATGTGCATAAACCAGTAAACCTGGTAGAAATTGATAAATTCCTGGACACTTGCACTCTCCCAAGCCTAAACCAGGAAGAAGTTGAAACCCTGAATAGACCAATAACAAGGGCTGAATTGAAGCAGCAATTAATAGTCTACCAGTAAGAAAAGTCCAGGTCCAGATGGGTTCAAGCCGAATTCTACCATACATACGAAGAGGAGCTGGTACCATTCCTTCTGAAATTATTCCAAACAATCAAAAGAGAGGGAATCATTCCGAATTCATTTTATAAGCCCAACATCCTCCTGATACCAAAACCTGGCAGAGACTCAACAAAAAAGGAAAACTTCAGGCCAATATTCATGATGAACAGCAATGCAACAATCTTCAATAAAATACTGGCAAAACGATTGCAACAGCGTATCAAAAAGCTTATCCACCATGATCAACTAGGCTTCATCCCAGGGCTACAAGGCAGGTTCAACATTCGCAAGCCTGTAAACGTGATCCACCACATAAACAGAACCAAAGATAAAAACCACATGATTATCTCAATAGATGCAGAGATGGCCATCAACAAAATTCAACCACCCTTGATGCTAAAAACTCTCAATAAACTAGGTATCGATGGAACATATCTCAAAATAATAAAAGCTATCTACAATAAAAGCACAGCCAATATCATACTGTGGTTTTATTGGGCAAAAACTCGAAGCATTACCTTTGAAATCTGGCACAAGACAAGGATGCCCCTCTCACCACTCCTATTCAATATAGTTTTAGAGGTTCTAGCCAGAGCAATCAGGCAAGAAGAAGAAATAAAGCATATTCAATTAGGAAAGGAGGAAGTTAAATTGTCCCTATTTGCAGATGACATGATTGTATATTTAGAAGACCCATCATCTCAGCCCAAAAATCTGCTTAAATTGATAAGTAAGTTCAGCAAGGTCTCAGGATACAAAATCAATGTGCAGAAATCACAAGCATTCCCATACACCAGTAACACACTAAGAGCCAAATCAAGAGGGCACTCCCATTCACAATTGCCACAAAAAGAATAAAATACCTAGGAATCCAACTAACAAAGGATGTAAAAAGGACCTCTTCAAGGAGAACTATAAACCACTGCTCAAGGAAGTAAAAGAGGACACAATTAGATGGAAAAACATTCCATGTTCAGGGTTAGGAAGAATCAATATTGTGAAAATGGCCATACTGCCCAAAGTAATTTATAGATTCAATGCTATCCCCATCAAGCTACATATGACCCGCTTCACAGAACTGGAAAGAACCGCTTTAAACTTCATATGGAACCAAAAGAGAGCCCACATCGTTAAGACAATTCTAAGCAAAAAGAACAATGCTGGAGGCATCATGCTACCTGACTTCAAACTATACTACAAGGCTATAGTTAACAAAACAGCATGGTACTGTTACCAAAACAGAGAGAGAAACCAATGGAATAGAACAGAGGCCTTGAAGGCAACGCCACATATCTATAACCATCTGATCTTTGACAAACCTGACAAAAACAAGCAATGGAGAAACAATTCCCTGTTTAATAAATTGTGTTGGGAAAACTGCCTAGCCATGTGGAGAACACAGAAACTGGACCCCTTCCTGACACCTTACACTAAAATTAACTCCAGATGGATTAAAGACTTAAACATAAGACCTAATACCATAAAAACCCTAGGAGAAAACCTAGGCAATACCGTTCAGGACATAGGTGTAGGCAAGGACTTCATGACTAAAACACCAAAAGCAATAGCAACAAAAGCCAAAATAGACAAATGTGATCTAGTTAAACTACAGAGCTTCTGTACAGTCAAAGAAAGAATCATTAGAGTGAACTGGCAACCAATAGAATGGGAAAAAATTTTTGCAATCTACCCATCTGACAAAGGGCTAATATCCAGAATCTATAAAGAACTAAAACAGATTTACAAGAAAAAAAAACAAGCAAACCCATTCAAAAGTGGGCAAAGGATATGAACAGACACTTTTCAAAAGAAGACATATATGAGGCCAACAAACATATGAAAAAATGCTCATCATCACTGGTCATTACAGAAATACAACTCAAAACCACATTGAGATACCATTTCACGCCGGTTAGAATGGCAATCATTTAAAAATCTGGAGATAACAGATGCTGGAGAGGATGTGGAGAAATAGGAACACTTTTACACTGTTGGCGGGAGTGTAAGTTAGTTCAACCATTGTGGAAGACAGTGTGGCGATTCCTCAAAGACCTAGAAATAGAAATTCCATTTGACCCAGCAATCTCATTACTGGGTATATATGCAAAGGATTATAAATCATTCTATTATAAAAACACATGCACACGAATGTTCATTGCAGCACTGTTTACAATAGCAAAGACCTGGAACCAACCCAAATACCTATCAATGATACACTGGACAAGGCAAATATGGTCCATATATACTGTGGAATACTATGCAGCCATAAAAAACGATGAGTTTATGTCCTCTGTAGGGACATAGAGGAGTCTGGAAACCATCATTCTCAGCAAACTGACACAAGAACAAAAAAACACCACATGTTCTCACTCATAGGTGGCTGTTGAACAATGAAAACACACGGGCACAGGGAAGGGAGCATCACACACTGGGGTCTGTTGGAGTGGGGCTAGGGGAGGGACAGCGTGGGGTGGGGAGGTTTGGGAGGGATAACATGGGGAGAAATGCCAGATATAGGTGACTCGGGATGGAGGCAGCAAACCACATTGCCATGTAGGTACCTATGCAACAATGCTGCATGTTCTACATATGTACCCCAGAAACTACAGTGCAATATATATATACACACACACATATATATATATAAACATTTCCCTATGCAATAAAAACTTGTGTGCACACACACACACACACAAAACAAAAATTAAAAAATGCTTGAGTAAATGGATACCCCATTTACTCTGATGTGATTATTACGCATTATATGCCTGTATCAAAAATATCTTATCAACTTGATCCCATGATCAAGTTACATTATAGTAGAACTCTGTCTTAGCAGACAAGAGAGACTCTTCACTTGCCTAAAAGAAGAAGTGAGCTAGCCAGGCATGGTGGCTTATGGCTATAATCTCAAAACTTTTAGAGGCTGAGGCAGAAGGACCATTTGAGGCCAGAAACCCAGCCTGGGAAACATAACAAGGCTTTGGTGCTACAAAAAACAAAGAAACAAACAAAAAAATTAAAAACTAGCAGGGTGTCATAGTGCATGCCTATAGTCCTACATACGTGGGAGGGTGAGGCAGGAGGATGGTTTGAGCCCAGGAGTTCAGGCTACAGGAGTTCAGGCTGCAGGGTCATGCCATTGCACTCCAACCTAAGTGACAGAGTGAGACCCTGTAGAAGGAAGGAACGAAGGAGGGAGGGAGGGAGGGAGAGAGGGAGGGGAGGAAGGGAGGAAGGAAGGAAGGAAGGAGGGAGGGAGGGGAGGAAGGGAGGAAGGAAGGAAGGAAGGAAGGAGGGAGGGAGGGAGGAGGAGGGGAGGTGAGGGGGGGAGGAAGGGGAGGAGAAGGAGGAAGCGGGGGAGGAGGCGGCGACGGCGGCAAGTTGTTATGATATGAACAATCTATGGAAAAGACCATGTGGCAGGAAAATGCAGACTGTGCCTCAGCCCTACAACTGCAAGGAACTGAAGTTTATCATATCCACTTGAGCTTGGAAGAGGATTCTCGAGATACATAATGGAATAGAGGCGAGCCAGCACTTTGATTACAGCCTGGCGAGCATAAGTTGATTACAGCATAGGACACAGCTAAGCCATGCTCAGATGCCTAACCCACTAAAACTGTGAGATAATATAAATTGTTCAAGCTGCTAAATTTGTGGTAACTTGCTATGCAGTAATAAAAAACTAATATCATAAAGTAGTACATTTTATATTCACTATTTTATGTGGTACTCTCATTTTTTACAAAATTTATGTTGTCTAGTTCTTGAGTCATTCAGGTGTATACATACTTGTACACTTGCACATACTTGTACACTTAACTCCAGCCTTTCACTGAAATGGGTGATATAATGCTAGATCGTTAAGAAATTAACTTGTAGCAAATGAAAAAAAAATATTCAAAAGCCAAAATGTAATAACAGGTTACCTGTATTCCTTTGATTGGATCACATGAATCAAAGTTAGGTATAGAGTTTACAATTTCTGAAGAAATCTTTAGTTGCATAACATTTATACTTTTTTAAGACAAATAGAGTAGCTATTGCTTTACACATTTGGGTTATGAAAATTTTGAAATTCAAATAGGTGAAAGGGGATTATCCAAAGTCATATAGCCAGTAAGTGGCTGTTCTGATTCCCAATATGACACTCTTTCCTCCATGGTATTCCCTGTAGTTGTGTAAACCATGGTAATTTTCATAATAGTGGCATAAATTTACCTGGATTTTTATTTCCCATTTCATTTTCTGAACCTTGATGAGAAAAGTCCATCAATAAGAAAGACATTATCTCAGGAAGAATTTTAGTGCACACACACACGCACACACACACACACACACACACACAGAGAAAGAGAGAGAGAGAGAGACATATATACCTATAATCACATACATAATAATGTTGTCTCTACATATGACTATCAGAGCAAATGTTAGCCAAATATTGATGCATAGAGAGAGTTGGCGAGTTACCTGTACTTGATGCAAATCTTCTATTTTAAACTCTTTTTCTGGAGACATCTTCCTGTAACATAAAATGTTCTAAAATGCAACATGATATTTTTGAATGCATTACTGCTTTGCTTTCTTGAGAATGTTTTAAACCATTTTAAAATGATGAAGTTTTTTTAAAAAAAATTCATATTTCTAAGAGATACAAAATTCATACAGGCTAAATTACAAATAACTGAAAAACATTTTTCAAGCCAACTTCTCACTGATATTATTAAAATATGAAAAGACTGAGATTTTCAAAGCATATTGGCCATTTGTTCCTCTTGGATCATTTTTTCTATTATAAGTTAAAGGTCAGGTTAAAATTAAGCTAAAGGCCATTTGTCCCATGAATTTCTTTTCAGGATTTGTGGAATTCTATGATATTTGACTTCATAGTTTCTTTTTAAAATTATTTTAATATTAGAGTTTAACCAAGCAAATTCAAATGCAATCATTATTTTATAATACTAAAGAAAATATTTACTTAATAAATTCTACTTTATAATAATACACATACATAAGAAATAAATAACTTCTTATAAGAATAATACAATTAGTAAGTACAGTAGAAAAGAACAGCCAAGACTGTGGAATTAACAAATTACAAAGCATGAGCTAGACCATCAAAGAAACAATGTAAATGCTTTTTTCTTATACTTAAAGATTTAATTCTGTTCACCTATTTCTGAATTTATTGTGGTTCAATCTCTTCTTCCAATCCATTTTTGGTTCTTTGTTCCTCCCTTTTTAGCTTTATCCCATAATCATATACTGGTATGCTTATAAAAACATGTATTTGCCAATTTTATGTTTTTAAAAGTCTATCTGTAAGTTATGTTTATTTGACTTTAAATTGTTTTTATAAAAGTAAAACATAAATTAACAAGGAAAAAAGATTAACATGTATCTTTATGTCTTACTCTTCTGAATCCTCAGATTTTCCTTTGCCTTTTTTCTTCTGTGTTTTTACAGCTTTCCTTATTCTATCATTTGTAGGCTTGGTTTTCTGTATAATTTCATATAAGACAGAAATAAAGGGTTAAAAAACAATGAGTTATACGGAAATACACAATAATATACATTATTAATGTACATTTTACCCTGAGAGTCACTATACAAAGTTTCAAGAAAAATTACTTGCATAGAAGCAAAACAAAATGACACATTTGGTCTGTTTTTAACAGTGCTTTACTTAGTGTAAGTTGTATATAAGCTAATATATATTAAAACAGTTAAATTTTTCTGACAATTACAATCAGTTATGTTATAATGTGGCATATGCCTTCCTGAAAATCACCTCACTATGCAAAAATACGCAATAAAATCTGTAAGATGTATGGGGAAAATGGGTTAGGTACACATCTTGCAAAAACCTTGTCAGTGGTATATTTTTAAAAATAAAAACCTAAGAAAAACAGTACTATAGTATACAGTTAAATGATTAAGAATACATAAATACCATGAGAAATGAGACCTTTATCTTGAAAAAGACCTGAAACTTGTTTGTGAAAGTGAGCATAGAATAGAGGTTGCAACTTGTGAGTTATTGTGCAGTGGCAGACAATTATCTAAAATTAAAAAAAAGTCATACCACCAGATGTGGGCTGGTGTGGCACACTATACACAAGTGAGCCAAGGTAGATGGAGAAAGTTGCTTTCTGCTTTCACTCATTGTTTTTGCAGATGAAACTGCTTATACACATGAAATTCAAACTATGCTCAAATTGTTTGATTATGCTAAAACAAATTTGCATTTCAAAACAAATATTAGAGCAGAACTAATCACAGTGAACTGTGTAGTACAAGATCATTTTATACAAGAAAGTAGGGGAAAAATTAACAATTAGATTATTAAAAATTTTAGGACATTTGGACAAGATGGCAGACTAGAAGTATCTCATATGTGCCACTCTCACAGAGAGGAAACTAAAGGGGCTAGTGAATATTGACTCTGCAAGCCAATCACCTGAGAAACCACATTAAGATCCAACAAGGCAGCAGGGTAACATAGAGAACAGAGAGGGTGAGGTGGGACACCAGCATGTCTGGGCTTACTGCAGAGCTAGAACCTTTCCAACATGATAAACGGTGAGTAAGTGAGGTCCCCTAGGGGGATTCAGCTCTCCACGGGGGAATGTGTAAGACTTGGAATGAGAGAATCCTGTTTCTAGACTGAGGTAGGTGAATGGGAGAATCACATTTCTAGACTGAGGTAGGAGCCACTGGGACATTTTTTAAGGGCAACTCTTGAGTCCACGGGGACTTATACAAGCCTTGGGCCCAAGGGCAGACCAGCACCAGTACCATTGTTCCAGTAAAGACCATAATTGCAGTGCCTCGGAGCTGTAAGATTTATCCACGCCTTCTTGCCAGATGGGGCTTAAGGCCAACCAAACTTGACTGGCCATGCCACCCAACCCCACCACTGGTATCCAGCTGGGCAAGGCTTGCTAGAGTTTCCAGCCCATCAGTCCTGCTTTGGTGTGAACTCAGCTGGAGGGCGCAGCCTCCTGTTTTCCCAAGAAACACCGAAAGGGCTCAGCAGGTGACCCCACCCATCCCTGCCATTGATACCCAGATGGGCAATACCTCCTAGAGCTTCCAGCCCAGTGGCCATGCTACTATGTAAACTCAGCTAGAGGGTGCACCTTCCTGTTGTCCCAGGAACCAGCTAGCCTATAGAGCAGGCATCCCCATCCTCCCCTACTGCTGGTAGCCAGGAGAGCCATGCCTGCTAGACCATCTAGCTCAGTGATCTTACTTCTGCCTGAATTTGCCTCCTGCTGCCCTGGAAACACCCAGAAGGCAGGGTAGGTAACTCTATTAACCCCCCTAGCTCTCTAAAATAAATCAGACAAAAATAAAGAAAAAAGAATGTTAAAAACTCTGAGAAATTTGGGGTTATGTAGAGGTCAAATCTTTGACTTATTAGCATTCCTGTAAGATATGGGGGAAAAGCAGACAACCTAGAAAACATATTTTACTGGATCATCAATGAAAACTTACACAACCTCGCTAGACAGGACTTTCAAATCCAGGAAATACACAGAACCCCTGAAAGGTATTAACAAGAAGATAATTTCCAAGACACGTAATTATCAGATTTTCAAAGGTCAACATGAAAGAAAAAATGATAAAGGCAACGAGAGAGAATGTGCAGGCCACTTACAAAAAGAACCCCACCCATCAGGCTAAATAAAATTAGACCTTTCAGCAGAAATCCTGCAATCCAGAAGAGACTGGTGGCCTATATTCAGCCTCTCTAAGGAAAAAAATTTCCAGCCAAGAATTTTATATCCAGCCAAACTAAGCATCATAAGTGGAAGAGAAATAAGATCCTTTTCAGGCAATCAAATGCTAACAACATGATACCAGGATCAAACCCATACATATCAATATTAACACAAAATGTAAATGCACTAAATGCCCCAATTAAAAGGTGCAGAGTGGCAAGCTGGAAAAAGAAGCAAGAGCCAATGGAAAGCTATCTTCAAGAGACCCATCTCACAGGCAATGAAATCCACAGGCTCAAAATAAAAAGATAGAGAAAAATCAACCATGCAAAAGGAAAACAGGAAAAAGCAGAAGTTGCAAACCTAATTTCAGGCAAAATGGACTTTAAGCAAATAAATGTTTTAAAAATGTAAAGATGGGCAGTACATATTGGTAAAGGGTTCAATTCAGCAAGAAGACTTAACTATTCTAAATATATATACACTCAACATAGGAACACCGAGATTCATACAGCAAGTTCTTATAGACCTACAAAGAGACTTAGACCCAAACACAATAATAGTGGGAGACTTGTGTTAGACAGAAGTCCCCACTGACAATATTAGACAGACCACTGAGGCAGAAAATAAACAGAGATATTCAGCACCTAAACTCAACACTTGACCAATGGACAAATAGACACTATACAAGTCTCCACCCAAAAACAACACAATATACATTCTTCTCATCACAACATAGCACATACTTTGAAAAATCTAATAGGCCATAAAATAATCCTTAGCAAATTAAAAAACAAAATCATACCAACCACATTCAGACTACAGCAAAATAAAAATAGAAATCAAGACTAAGAAAATCACATGGAAATTAAACAATCTGCTCCTGAATGACATTTGGGTAAACAATGAAATCAAAGCAGCAATTAGGAAGTTATTTTATGAGAATAAAGATACAACATACCAGAATCTCTGGGACACAACTTAGGCAATGTTAAGAGGGAAGTTTATAACACTAAATATCCAACACAAAAAAGTTAGAAAGATCTAAAATTAACAACCTAATGTCACAACTAGAAGAAGGACAGAAGAATAAACCAACCCCAAAGCAAGCAAAAAGCAAGAAGTAACCAAATTAGAACTGAACTGAAGAAACTGAGATACAAAAAAAAAAAAAAAAAAAATACACAAGATAAATGAACCCAGGAATTGGTTTTATTTAAAAAAAAAATTAATAAGATAGAGCACTAGCTAGACAAATAAAGAAAAGCAGAGAGAAAATCCTGATAAACACAATTAGAGATGACAAATCAGATATTACCACTGACCCTACAGAAATACAAATAACCATCAGAAACTACTATGATTGCCTCTATGCACACAAACTAGAAAATCTATACTAGAAATGAATACATTAAACTAGAAATGGACAAATTCCTGGACACATACAACCACCCAAAAATGGTCCAGGAATAAACCGAATCCCGGAGCAGATCCATAATGATTTCCAAAATTGAATTAATAACAAAAAGCCTACCAACCAAAAAAGTCCAGGACCAGACTCACAACCAAATTCTACCAGATACATAAAGAAGCACTGGTGCTATTCCTACTAAGATGATCTTTTAAAACTGAGGAATAGGGACTCCTCCCCAACTCATTTCATGAGGCCAGCATCATCCTGATACCAAAACTTGGCAGAGACACAACAAATAAAGAAAACGTCAGGCCAATATCTTCATGAAGATAGCTGCAAAAATCTCCTTAACAAAATATTAGCAAACCACATCCAGCAGCACATCAAAAATCTAATCCACCATGATCAAATACGTTTTATCTCTGGGATGTAAAGTTGATTCAGCATATGCAAATCAATAAATGTGATTCACCAAAGAAACAAAACTGAAAACAAAAACCATATTATTATCTCAATAGAGGCAGAAAAGACTTTCAATAAAATCCAACATCTCTACATGTTAAAAACCTTCAATAAACTAGGCATTGAAAGAACAGGCATCAAAATAATACAAGCTATCTATGACAAAACCAGAACCAACATCATATTGAATAGGCAAAGCTGAAAGCATTTCCCTTGAAAACCAGCATAAGACAATGACTCCTTCCCTCACCATTTCTATCCAACACAGTATTGGAAGTCCTGGCAAGAACAATCAGGCAAGGGAAAGCAATAAAGGTATCCAGATAGGAAGAGAGAAAGTGAAACTACCCCTGTTTGGCGGTATGATTCTATATCTTAAAAACTCTGTAGTCTTGGCCCAAAATCTCCTTCAGCTGATGAACAACTTCAGCAAAATTTCAGGGCACAAAATCAATATACAAAATTAGTAGCACTCCTATACAATAACATCCAAGCTAAAAGCCAAATCAGTAATGCAATCCCATTCTCGATTGCCACAAAAAGAATAAAATGCCTAAGAATATAGCTAACTAGGAGGTGAAAAATCTCCACAATGAGAATTTTAAAACACTGCTCAAAGCAATCAGATGACACAAATGAGAAAACATTCCATGCTCATAGATAGGGGAATCAATATTGTTAAAATGGTCATACTTCCCAAGGCAATTTACAGATTCAATGCTATTCCTATCAAACTACCAATGTCATTCCTCACATAAATAGAAAAAGCTATTCTGAAATTCATAAGGAACCAAAAGCGTTGGAATAGCCAAGGCCATCCTAAGCAAAAAGAATAAAGCTAGAGGCATCACACTACCCAACTTCAAACTATACTACAGGGCTGCAGTAACCAAAACAGCATAGTACTGATACACAAACAGACACCTAGGCCAATGGAACAGAATAGAGAACACAGAAATAAGGCTGAACACCTACAACCATCTAATCTTCAACAAACCTGACAAAAATAAGAAATGAAGAAAGGACTCCCCATTCAATAAATCAGGCTGGGATAACTGGCCAGCAATATGCAGAAGATAGAAACTGTACCCCTACCTTATACCACAATCAAAAATCAGCTCAAAATGGATTAAAGACTTAAATGCAAACCCAAAACTATAAAAACTCTGGAAGATAACCTAGGAAATACCATTCTGGACACAGGACTTGGCAAAGATTTCATGATAAAGATGCTGAAAGGCATTTCAACAAAAACAAAAATTAACAAATGAGATCTAAACTAAAGAGCTTCTGTATATCTAAAGAAACTATCAACAGAGTAAACAGGCAACCTAAAGATTAGGAGAAAATATTTGCAAACCATGCATCTGACAAAGGTGTTATATCCAGAATTTATAATGAACTTAAATTTACAAGGAAAAAAAGACTCCATTAAAAGGGAGACAAAGAGGACTGCAGGGAAGTTCACACCGCAGCTGGGTGGAGCCCACAGCAGCTCAGCAAAGCCTCTACAGGCAGACTGTGACTAGGCTGCCTCCTCACTGGGCAGGGAAGCCATGAAAAAAGGCAGCAGCATGACAGAAACTTACAAATAAAGCCTTACCTTCCTGGGACAGAGCCCCTGGGAAAAAAGAAAAAGTGTTTATGAGTTCTGCTGCAGCAGACTTAAACGTACCTGCCCGGCAGCTCTGAATGAACAACGGAGCTCACAACTCAGCACTTGAGCTCCTATAAAGGACAGACTGTCTCCTCAAGCAGCTCTCTGACCCCCTGTATATCCAAAGAGTCACCTCATAAAGGAGAGCTCAGACTGACATCTGGCAGGTATCCTTCTGGGACAAAGATAGCAGAAGAAACTGGCAGCAACCCTTACTGTTCTGCAGCCACTGCAGGTGGTCCCCAGGCAAGCAGGGCCTGGAGTGGACCTCCAGCAGTCCTACAGCAGAGGAGCCTGACTGTTAGAAGGAAAACTAAGAAACAGAAAGAAATAACTTCATCATCAACAAACTGGACATCCACTTAGAGACCCAATCTGAAAGTCACCAACTACAAAGACCACAGGTAAATAAATCCACACAGATGGGAAGAAACAAGTGCAAAAAGGATGAAAACACCTAAAACCAGAAGGCCTCTCCTCCTATAAGGGATCACAACTCCTCACCAGCAAGGGAACACAGCTGGATGGAGAATGAGTGTGATGAAGCTACAGACACAGGTTTCAGAAGGTGGGTAATAAGAAACTTCTCTGAGCTAAAAGAACATGTTCTAACCCAGTGCAAAGAAACTAAGAACCTTGAAAAAACTTTTGATGAAATGCTAATGAGAATAAACAGCTTAGAGAGGAATATAAATGAATTGATGGGGCTGAAAAACACAACAGGAGAACTTCGTGAAGCATACACAAGTTTCAATAGCCAAATTGACCAAGTAGAAGAAAAGATATCAGAGGTTGAAGATCAACTTAATGAGATAAAATGAAAATGCATGATTAGAGAAAAAAGGGTAAAAAGAAATGAACATTGTGTCCAAGAAATATGGTACTATGTGAAAAGACCTAATCTACATTTAATAGGTGTACCTGAATGTGACGGAGAGAATGAATCCAAGCTGGAAAATACACTTCAGGATATTATGCAGGAAAACTGCCCCAACCTAGCAAGGCAGGCCAATATTCAAGTCCAGGAAATACAGAGAGCACCACAAAGATATTCCTCAAGAAGAGCAACCCCAAGGCACATAATCTTCAGATTCACCAGGGTTGAAATGAAGGAGAAAATGCTAAGGGCAGCCAGAGAGAAAGGTTGGGTTACCCACAAGGGAAGCCCATCAGACACAGCAGATCTCTCAGCAGAAACCCTACAAGCCAGAAGAGATTGGGGGCCAATATTCAACATCCTTAAAGAAAAGAACTTTCAACCCAGAATTTCATGTCCAGCCAAACCAAGCTTCATAAGCGAAAGAGAAATAAAATCCTTTACGAACAAGCAATTACTCAGAGATTTCATCACCACCAGACCTGCTTTACAAGAGCTCCTGAAAGAAGCACTAAACATAGAAAGGAACAACCAGTACCAGCCACTCCAAAAACATACCAAATAGTAAAGAGCATTGACACAATAAAGAAACTGCATCAACTAACAGGCGAAACAGCCAGCTAGCATCAAAATGGCAGGATCAAATTCACACATAACAATATTAACCCTAAATGTAAATGGGCTAAATGCCCCAATCAAAAGACACAGACTGGCAAATTGGATAAAAAGCCAAAACCCATCGGTGTGCTGTATCCAGGAAACCCATCTCACATGCAAGGATATACACAGGCTCAAAATAAAGGGATGGAGGAAGATTTACCAAGCATATATCAGTTTGGGGTTGCTCATAAAACTCAAAATAGAGCTACCATACAATCCAGCAATCCTATTGATATGTATATATACACCCCCCTCCAAAAAAAGGAAATCATCATATCTCAGATGTCTGCACTCCCATGTTTGTTGCAGGTCTGTTTTCAGTAGCCAAGATATGGAAGCAACCTCTGTGTCCATCAACATATGACTGGAAAAAGCACATGTGATACTTATACAAAATGGAGTATTAGTTGTAAAAAATGAGATTATGTCATTTGCTACAACGTGAATGGACCTGGAAGTCATTATGTTTAATGAAATAGGCCAGGCATAGAAAGACACACATTGCATATTTTCACTTATTAGTGGGGGCTAAAAATCAAAACAATTGAACTCATGGAGATAGAGAAAAAAAGGATGGTTACCACAGGCTGAAAGGGTGAGCAGGAGGTGGGGATGGTTAATTGGGTATAAAAAATATATTACAGCTTAAAAGAATGAATAAGAACTAGTATTTGATAGCATAACAGGGGGACTATAGTCAATAGTGATTTAATTGTACAATTAAGAATAACTGAAAATGTGCCTCATATACACCATGGAATACTATGCAGCCATAAAAAAAGTGATGAGTTCGTGTCCTTCATAGGGGCATGGATAAATCTGGAAACCATCAATCTCAGCAAACTGACACAAGAACAGAAAGCCAAACACCGCATGTTATCACTCATAGGCAGGTATTGAACAATTAGAACATGTGGACACAGGGAGGGGTGCATCACATACTGTGGTCAGTTGCAGGGGGCTAGGGGAGGGACAGTGGGGGGTGGGGAGGGATAATGAGCGGAGAAATACCAGATATAGGTGATAAGGGGATGAAGGCAGCAAACCACCTTGCCATGTGTGTACCTATGCAACAATCCCACATGATCTGCACATGTACTCCAGAACCTAAAGTACAATAAAAAAAAATTTTTTAAGAAAAGAATAACTAAAAGAGTATAACTGGATTATTTGCAACACAAAGGATAAGTGCTTAACTCAATGGATACCCAATTTTCCATGACGTGATTATTTTGCATTGTATGCCTGTACCAAAATATCTCATGTTTCCCATAAATATATATACTTACTATGTACCCACAAAAATTTAAAAAAAAAATTTAAATGTTTTAAAGAATGGCTAAGAGTATAACCTACCAAATGAGCACCAAAGTTTCCATGCATTAAACAAGAAAATCTTGTTGTATCCTAGATCATATATGGAAGTTCGTGCAAAACCATTGCTCTCTAGAGCAGAATTAGAGACAGAATATTTAAAGAAACAACACAAGAAAGCAACACCAGAAACTGCTGCAACATCCTCAATTCATCTAAGAAGCTCCAGAGTTTTTTTCAATGTGGCTCTAACAGTGTGTCATTAGAATGCTGCAAAATTCTCACACTTGGTCAGACTACTCAGTTCTTCAACATGACAATTTACTATTTTTAGGATTTTTTTATACCAATGTTCTACTCCTACTTGGCATGATACCTAAAGGGAACTGTTCCTAAACTGAACATATATGACAACCTGATCTTATATTTGACACCTGTGTAAGATTACTACTTCTCTGACTGATCAAACAGCAAATCTCCTATATGATTTCTGCTTCCTCTTCTAGTAAGAAACCAACATTATTGAATTTAGGATTTTTCCTCAACAATATATCTTAAGTTTTTAAGTGGTTAATAAAAATTCACTTCCAATGTATTTGACTTTATTCTCTACAGTTTGAATTTGCAAGCTGTCTAACAATGGCAAGAATAATGATAAAATACAAAAGGAAACAAATTTTCCTTTTTCCTTGGCATTTCTATTTCTATTGACTCTCCTTGGTATAATGAACTGGGATACACACATCACATAATTATAGAGAATACCATGAATGCATTTACAATATATTTGGAAACTAATTTATGCTAGTTTAATAAAGTCAAATATTTGGCCTAGAAATGTATTTTCAGATGTTTAAATTCTGTTTTTCATGGAATCCTTTTGGTTTTGACATCTAAAATGATAATTTGGAATATGGCATAATTTTATTTATTAAAGTACAGCTGCTACAAATTATTAATATTAAAAACATATTTAAATATCTCTTTGATTTCCATCCTAAAATAATAAGCCTTGTTAGGTGTATGCCATTTTTAAACACGAAAATTTTACCAACCTCTGTGTCCTTCAACTTTTGTAGTTCATTTTCCAGCACCAACTTCTCTTCTAATAACAACTTAAAATCACATTGTATCTGTTTGTATTCCTAAAAACAAATAATTTTAGTAATAATGAAGAGTAAAACTCTCAATATTAAAAGATTATTTAGATACTTAATTATTAAGGTAAGAAAGTCTTCATTAACTCATGACAATAACAAAACATTGGTATTAGTCTGTACAGTGAAACAATAATTGAAGCTGAAAGACATAAAGATCTGTAAGTGTCAAGGACCGGAACTATTCAGATGACTGTAGGATATTATAGTGTAGTATTTCAGAAGTGAAGTATTTCTGAGTGATAATGAGAGTAAAATGAGCAAAACAAACAAGGCTTTCCAGTTCACATACGCATAGAAATCTCTTAAATAAACTACATAGGCATTGGAACTTTATATAGGATTATGTATCCTGACAATTTCAAGAGTCTGTTAAGAACTCAAGGACAAAGCATAATTTCAAACTGAGAGAACTATACTTACAGCATCTAACAAAACTTGATCATTTACAGCTCTGAAAAATAAACCAAAAAATTTATGTTCATAATCGTACATTTATATTTTAATTTATGTAATACATTTATACATTTTCTTTGTAAACATTTTAATACAAATGAAGTTTAAAGGACACTTTGATTACCACTCCAAAAAATTTAATGCTCTCCTTAGAAATATTATTGGATCACTGTTACCTTTCCAGAACTTGTTCTACGCATTTACACAACATGGCATGTATCTTTTCCATTCTGTAATTTTTATTAGTGGGATGGATTTCAGTTTTCTTTTTCACATAAATGACATCACTGTATATATTGTTCTCAACTTACTTTTTTACTTAACATCATGTCTGAGATTTCTTCATATCCATAAACATATATCGTTCTCAGTCCTTTTAAGTGCTAATTATTATTCCATAGCAGGAGTTGGCAAACATTTTTTGTAAAGAACAAGACAGTAGATATTTTAGATTCTGCAAGCCTCATGGTCTCTATCACTATTACTCAATGAGTGTGGCTGTATTTCAATTACACTTTATTTATAAAAAATAAATTGCAGGTTAGGTTTAACATTGTTCATAGTGTGCTGACACAGTTTGGTGACATTGTTCCATAGTATGGATAAACCATAGATTATTTTTGGCAAAATAATCTGTGGTTATTTGGGCCACAGTTTGCTAACATTGTTCCATAGTATAGATAAACCATAGATTATTTTTGACAAGGGTTATTCATTTAATAAATCAGAATTTATAACAGCTTTATTAAGGTATAATTAATATGTCACACAATGCACATTTTAAACTATACAATTCAATGTTTTTTAGTATATTCACCAATGTAAGCAACTGTCAACACTATCTAATTTTACAACATTTTATTTACCTCACAAAGAGGGACCCCAGATCCATTAGTAGTCGCTCCCGATTTCTCTTTGCAAATGCCCAGCCAGTAATCTACTTTCTCTAGATTTGCCTATTCTGGATATTTGATATAAATAGAAGCATATAGTATGTGGTCTTTAGAGACTGGCTTCTTACACTTAGCAATATATTTTCAAGGTTCTTCCCTATTGTAGCATGTTACTATTTTGTTCCTTTTCACTGCCAAATAACATTCCATTATATGGATATGCCACATTTTATCCATCACTTTATGGACATTTTATTTGTTTCCACTTTTCTGCCATTGTGAATAATGCTATTATGAACATTTATTACAAGTTTTGGTATGAACATATGTTTTCATTTATCTCATGTATAAACCTAGAAACAGAATTTCTGAATCATATGCAGAGTCTCTACTTAATTTTTTGAGGAACTGAGAAAGTGTTTTCCAAAGCAGATACACAATTTAAGTTCTCATAAGTAATATATGAGGGTCCCAATTTCTCTGCATACTTGCCAACAAATCCTTGCCTTGTCTGATTATAGCCATCCTAGTGGGTGCAAAGTGGCCTAGTGGGTGCAAAGTGGTATATCATTGTAGTTTTGATTTGCAATTAAAACTAGTGATGGCCAGGCCCAGTGGCTCATGCCTGTAAGCCCAGTACTTTGGGAGACTGAGGCGGGAGGATCACCTGAGGTCAGGAGTTTGAGACCAGCAGGACCAACATGGTGAAACCCCATCTCTACTAAGAATACAAAAATTAGTCAGGCGTGGTGGCAGGTGCCTGTAGTCCATTACTTGGGAAGCTGATGCACAAGAATTACTTGAACTCAGGAGGCAGAGGTTGCAGTGAGCTGAGATCACATCACTACACTCCAGCCTGGATAACAGAGCAAGACTCTGTCTCAAAAAACAAAAAACAAGAAAAACTAGTAACTAACAACGTTAAGTATCTTTTCATGTGCTTATTGAGCATTTCTATAACTCCTTTGGGAAAATATCTATTCAGATCCTTTGCCTATATTTAATTGAATTATTTACCTTTTTATTATTGAGATATAAGAGTTCTTTATATATTCTGTGAAGTACCTTAGCAGATATATGATTTGTAAATATTTTTCACATTCCATTAGTGGTTTTTTTCATGTTTTTTGATAGCCTTACTTGCAGCACAAAAGTTTTTAATTTTGATAAAGTTTATCTACTTTTTTCTTTTGTTGATTGTACTTCCAATGTCATATCTAAGAAACCACTACCTAACCCAATGTCACAAAAATTTACTCCTATGTTTCTTCTAAAATGCCTATAGTTTTAGCTCTTCAATTTAGGTGTTAGACAATTTCGACAACTTTAGTGCATGGCAAAAATAAACAATCCAGCTTTATTCTTTTGCATGTGGATAACCCACTTGCCCAAGTACCATTTATTAAAAAGACTCTTCTTTCCCCCATTGAATCATCTTACCTTAAAACTCAATTGTTTATAAATGTAAGGGTTTATTTGTGGACTTTCAATTCTATTCCATTGTTCTATATGTCTAACCTTATGCCAGTAATACATTCACTTGATAACTGTAGCGTTCTATTAAGTTTTAAAATCAGTTAAGTGTGAGTCTTCTAACTTTGTTCTTAAGGTTGCTTTGGCTGTTCTAGCTTCCTTGTACTTCCACATGAGTTTTAGAATCAGCTTTTCAATTCTTACAAAATGTCAGCTGGAATTCTGGTAGTAATTACAGCAAATCTGTAGGACAATTTGGGAAGTACTACTACCTTAAAATTATTAAATCCAGGTGTGGTGGCTCACACCTGTAATTGCAGGACTTTGGGAGGCCAGGGCAGGAGAACACTTGAAGCCAGGAGTTCAAGACCAGCCTAGGCAACATAGCAAGACCCTGTCCCTACAAAAAAAAAATTTTTTTTTTAATTGCCAGGCATGGTGGTGCATGCCTGTAGTCCTAGCTGCTTAGAAGGCTGAGGTAGGAAGATGCCTTGGGCCTAGGAGTTAGCAGCTAAATGGGCTATGATCACATCACTGCACTTCAGCCTGGGTGACAGAGTGAGACCTTAATAGCTCTAAAAAATAAAAAATATTAAGTTTAACTGTCTATGAATATGAGATATCTATCCATTTATTTAGGTGTTCTTTAAGTTCTTTCAATGATGTTTTGTAGTTTCAATGCCCAATTCTCGCATTTCTTTTTTTAAGTTCAGTCACAATCTCTTTGATGCTATTATAAATGGAATTGTTTTCTTTATTTCACTTTTGAAATGCTCATTGCTAGTGTGTTTGTTTCTTAGAGCTGTAGTAATAAAGTACCAAAATATGGGGGATTTAAGATAACAAGAATTTATTTTCTCACAGCCTGGAGACTTGAAATACAAAATTAAAGTGTTGGCACAGCACGTTCCCTCTGAAACATCTAGGAAAGGAATCTACCATGCCTACTCTAATCACTGGTAGTCTCTGGCATTCTTTGGATTGAAGCAGAATAAATTCAATCTCTGCCTCCATCTTTATATAAGCAGTCTTTCTTCCATGTTTATCTGTCTTCTCCAATTCCTATAAGGACATTAGTCACACTGGATTAAGGGCCCATCCTACCCCAGTATGATCTCATCTCAGCTAATGATATCAGCAATAACCCTGTTTCCAAATAAGGTCACCCTGAGGTAGCACGGGGTGAGAACTTCAACATATCTTTTGAGCGGATACAATTCAACCCATAACAGCTAGTGTATAGAAATTCATTCGTTTTTGTTTCTTGATCTTGTATATTGCAGCCTTGATGAATTCATTCATTACTTCCAATAGGTTTTAGAAGAACTCAGGATGTTTTTATACCTAAAATTATGTCATTTGCAAATAGAGGTAGTTTTACTTCTTCCTCACCAATGCAGACACTGTTTTTTTCCTTTTCTTCCATAACTGCCCTTGCAAGAACCTCCACTATAATGATGAATAGAAGTGAATGCCTTGTCTTGTTCCTGAGCATAGGGAAAAATTATACATTCTTCACCATTGAGTATGATATTGACTACGGGTTTTGTAAATGGCCTTCATCAAGTTTCGGAAGTTTCTTTCTATTCTTAGTTTATGGAATTCCTAGTACCATGAAAAGATGCATTTACTGAATTTTGTCAAGTGTATTTACTGAATCTAGTGGGCTGTGATTTTTTTCTTTTATTCAATCAATAATATACATTATATAAATTGGTACCTGAATTTTAAATCAACCTTGCATTTCTGAAATAAATCCCACATGTTCATTATATATAACCTTTTTTATATGTTGTTGGATTCAATTTGCTGGTATTTTGGTGAGGATTTTTGTATTCACATTCATAACACATATTTATCTGTAAACTTATTTTTTTGTGATTGTCTAATTTTGGTATCAGAGTAACACTAATCTCATAGAATGAATTGAGAAGTGTGAAATCTTCTATTTTTTTGAAGAGTTTGTAAAGGGCTAGTATTAACTCTTCTTTAAATATTTGATAGAATTAAAAAGTGAAGTCATCTGACCTAAGCGTTTTTTAATGGGAAATAGGTTAATTACTAATCAAATCTTTTCACTACTTATTAAGTCCAGTCTTATGTTCTTGTTCTTCTTGATTCAGTTTAGTTTTGGTCTTTCTAGAAATATATATCATCTAAGTTATCTAATTTGTTGTCATATAGTTATTCATAGTATTCCCTTATCAATCATTTACCATAGATTATTGAGCCATACTCCCACTAACAAAAACAGGTTCTTTCTAGTTCTGCTACTATCACACTGATGCAAAATAAAAATCTTTTTATATGCTTTCTTGAGCATATTGTACTTCTTTCTCTAAGGCAGATAAAAAGGGATTTGCTATATAATATGGCATACACCTTTGTTATGGCTAAACTGTGCTAAATTGTCCTTGAAAGTGGGAAATTTCTATTTCACTAGCATTCATACTATTGATTCCACCAGCAAAAGCAGTTCTAAGTGGGAAGTTTATAGCAATAGATGTCTACTTTAAAAAAAAAAAAAAAGAATGATCACAAATAAATAACATAATGTGATATATCAAAGAGCCAGAAAAATAACAAAGTAAGCCAATAGTTTAATAGAAAGCAGAAAATTACAAAAAGAAGAGCAGAAATAAATCATATAGAGACCAGAAATACAATAGAAAAGGTTAACAAAACTAAGAGTTTTCTGAAAAGATAAAAATCAGCATATGTTAAGCTGGACTAAGAAGAAAGAGAGAGAAGGCCCAAATAACCTCAGAAAAGAAAAATTAGACATTATAACTGATACCATAGAAATAAAAAGATAATAAGAAACTACCACACAAAATTACATTCCAACAAACTGGACAACCTAGAAGAAAATGAGTAAATTCTTAGACCTACCAACAACCCTAGGTTGTAAATCCCTACAACCTACCAAGACTGAAGAAACAGAAAATCTGAAGAGACCAATAATGACCAAGGAGAGTCAATCAGTAATAAAAAAAAAAATCTATCAAAGAAAAGCCCAAGACCTCAAGGCTTCATGACTGACTTCTATCAAATATTTAAAGAAGAACTAATACAATCCTCAAACTCTTCCAAAATCCTGAAGACGAAGAAATACTTCCAAACTATTTTACAAGTCAGCATCAATCACCCTGATAACAAAGTCAGACATGAACATCAAAGAAAATTACAGGCCAATATCCCTGATAAATATAGGTATAAAAATCTTCAACCCAATACTAGCAAAACAAATTTCACAGTACATTAAAAGGATCATTCACCATGATCAAGTCAAATTTATCCCTGGAGTGCAAGGATGATGCAGCAAACCAATAAATGTCATGGATCATAGTAGCAGAATGAAAGACAAAACCATATGATCATCTCATAAGATGCAGAAAAAGCATCTGACAAAATTCAACATCCTTTCATAATAAAACCCATCAATAAATAGGTATAGAAGGAATGTACCTAAATATAATAAAACCCATATATCATCACCCCATACCTAACATTATTATACTCAATGGTGAAAAGCTTAAAGCTTTTCCTCTAAGATTAAAATCAAGGATACCCACTCTCCCCACTTCTATTCAATATAGTACTAGAAATCCAAGCCAGGGCAATTAGTCAAGAAAAAATAAAAGTATCAAAATAGAAAAAGAAGAAGTAAAATCATATTTGTTTCCAGATGATGTACTCTCATATATAGAAAGCTCTAAGGATGCCCCCCAAAAACTTGCAGAACAAATGAATTCAGTATGGTTGCAGGATACAAAAACCAATATACAAAAATCAGTTGTGTTTCTATAAACTAACAACAAATTATCTAGAAAAGAAATCAAGAAAACAATTCCATTTATAATAGCATGAAAAGAAATAAAATACTTGGGAATACACTTAACCATAGAAGGAAGAGATCTGTTACACTGAAAACTGTTAAGATGTTGATGAAATAAATTGAAGAACACACAAAGAAATGGAGAGAATTGAATTCAAACAATATTGTTAAAATGTTCATGCTACCCAAAATAACCTACAGGTTTAATGTAATCCCTATGAAAATTCCAATGATATTTTTCACAGAAATAAAAATAGATTCTAAAATTCATATTGGACCACAAAAGACCCTGAGTAGTCAAAGCAATCGTGAGCAAAAAGGAACAAAGGTGGAGGCATCACTTTATCACAAAATCTACTACACAAAGCTACAGTAATCAAAACTGCATGACCCTTGCATCAGAACAGAATAGAGATCTCAGAAATAAATTCACATATACGGCCAACTGATCTTTAACAAATGTACAAAAACACACAATTAAGAAAAGAATATCTCTTCAATAAATGATGTTGGAGAGGCTGCAGAAGAAAGAAATTGGGTCCTTATCTCACCCCATATATAAAAATAGACTCAAAATGGATTAGAAACTTAAATGTAAGACCTGAAACTGTAAAATTACTTAACAAAAACATAGGGGGAAACTTCTTGATATTGGTCCTGGAAAATACTTTTTGTATATGACCCCAAAAGCACAGGTAACAAAAGCAAAAATGGACAAATAGGACTGCATCAAGCTAAATAGTTTCTGCACAGCAAAGGAAACAATCAATGGAATGAAGATGCAACCTATGGAATGGGAGAAAATATCTGCAAACCATACATCTGAGAAGAATTTAATATCCAAGATATAAAAGAAACTCAACTGCAAGAAAACAAATAACCCCATTTAAAAATGAGCAAATGGCTTGAAAATATACATGGTCAACAGCTATATGAAAAAAATGTTCAACATCACTAATCATCAAGGAAAAGCAAGTTTAAACCACCATGTAATATTACCTCACATCTGTTATCAAAAAACAAATGGCTATTTATATACATACTGGCAATAATGTGGAGAAAAGGGAACTCTTACACGCCATTAGTGAGAATGTAAATTAGTACAACTTTATGGAAAACAATATGGAGATTCTTCAAAAAAATAAAAATATACTACCATATGACCAAGTAATTCCACTTCTGGGTATACATCTAAAGGAAATAAGTGTAAAAATAAAGAACATGTGGAAGATATATATATATATATATATATATAAACACACACATATATATACATACACATTTATATATGTAAAATATTATTCAGCCTTAAAAAAGAAGGAAATACTGTCATCTGCAACAACATGGACAAACCTGAAGGGCATAATGCCAAGAAGTCAGGTACAGAAAGACAATTACTGCATGATCTCACTTATATGTAGAACCCCAAAAAGTCAAACTCATGGAAATAGAAAACAGAATACTGGGTACCAGACGCTGTGGTTGGTGAAAATGGGGAGGTGTTGGTCAAAGGGTATAAAATTTCAGCTAGACGGGGAAAATTTCTAGCAGAGTAATTTTTAAGTGTTCTTACCAGAAAAAAGAAAGGTATGTATGTGAGGATATTGGGTCTGTTACATAGCTTGATTTAGCCATTCCACAATGCATGCATATATCAAAACATCACATTTTATACCATAAATTTTCTCAATAAAAAATAAAACATTTATTTTAAAAAGCAATTATTTGAGTTTACAGGTGAAAAAAAATATTCACAAACTACATTTTGTATCATTGTAACTTTTAATTTTTTAACTATGGAAAAATACATACAATATAAAATTTACCATCTTAACCATTTTAAGTGTATAGTTCAGCAGTGTTAGATACCTTTACATTATTTTATAACCAATCTCCAGAACTCTTCTCATCATGTAAAATGGAAGCTTTGTGTGTATCAAACAATAACTCCCCATTTCCCCCCTCCTAAACCCCCAGCAACCAACCATCATTCTATCATCTATGTCTATGAATTTAACACTACTCTAGATACCTCATGGAAGGGGAATAATTGCATATGTCTTTTTGTGACTGGCTTATTACACTTAGAAGAATGTCCTCAGGGTTCATTCATGTTGTAGCATGTATCAGAATTTCCTTTCTTGTTAAGACTCAATAATAATTTCATTGTATGTCTATACCACATTTTGTTTATCAATTTATCCATTGTTGCATAAGTGGGTGGCTTCCATCTTTTGGCTGTTGTGAATGATGCTGCAAAGAATGGGTGTCAAATATCCCTTCAACACTCTGCTTTCAATGTGGGGGTATATATACCCAGAAGTGGAATTGCTGGATCATATGGTAATTCTGTTTTTAATTTTTTAGGAAACAACATACTGTTTTTTGTAGCATATATTTTACATTTCATTTTACATTCTCTATGTTTATAATTTTCAATGTAAAAATTATACATATATAAAATCACAAAAATTGATACAAGAAATTCTAAATTTGTTGACAGCATTGTTATTTTATGCTTCAATATTTCTGCAATAAATATGTACTAACTTTCATAAACATGTTATATATGGAAAAATACAATTTTATCTGTTATTTTAAATAGAAAAATAATAAAATACGAAAAACAGCTTACCTCTCCAACTTATTTGCCTGGTTTTCAAATACTTTCAACACGGCATTAAATCGAGTAGTCATTGAATTATCAGTTTCTATTATTTAAAAAAATCAAAAATGTTAAAGGTTTTATAAATGGCTGGAATTATAGCTCTATGCTAAATATAACTGCTATAGATATGAAAGTTAAACAAACATAGAGAGGGGCTAGCAGGGCTACATGAGTATTAACAGAATGCTTATGAGGAGAATAGCTACCATTTTATTAAATACCTATTATGTGCAAATCACCATGGTATATTGCATTCTCTTATTCTCAAAATAATCTAAAAGATAATATACTGTCATAATTTTCAAATACAAAAGTTCAGGCTCAGAGAGGTTACATAACTTAATCAATACTATATATATAGTAAAACATAAAACTGAATTAATGTCCAATATATATATGTGACCTTCTAATGATACAGCATATCAGAGGAACTCTAGGATGCTAAGAGAGAAATGCTTTAGTTGCTGTTGCTAAGTCAATAAGGTTTATGGGAAGGATCTAGCTAACCTACTAAGTTTTACAATGGCATCAAAGAACCCAAAAGAGAACCTAAGATGCAACTTAAAAGAGAACCAACATAATAAGGATCCATAATAATCAATGAACTATTAGGATAATACCACAAGACTCCTAAATCTTACAACATAAAAAGCATATGATAGAAGACAGTCCCTGCATTAAGCTTTCCGTCAGAAAAACAAGATATGAAACAAAGAAAATGTTTAAAAACACAATAGCATACAACAGTTCCTAAATATTCACTGTATTTTTTCTATTTCACATGTCAAGAGTGGCATAGAATAATAAATATTTAGGAGTTGAGAAGAGAAAGTAGAAAGACATAAAGAAGCTAAGTCTTAAAGAATGGATAGAGCATCATTAAAAAGAAAAAAGAAAAAGTAAACACCTTAAGCAAAGGCAAGAAAAGTAGAAATGTGTAAAATATATCCAGGTCACCAAATATATCAAGTATAACCAAGAAACCAAGTCAAACAGAGGCTTTACTTTGAGAGAGTCAATATTCCTCAAAGATTCCAATAGGATATTGGAAGAAGCCAGTTTCATAAGAATTAAATTTATAAATTTTTGTAGGTAGGGGAGAGTAATCTAAAATGCTTACATAAAAAGTCATAGTTAAGAATTAAACAATAATTTAAGAGTAATCTGATTGTAGCATATGATATAATTTTAAATTCTGTCCTAAATATGGTAAAGAACTACAAGGAACACCAACCATTATTCCAGCTACAATTTGAAAATTCAGCCCCCAGAAAGAAGAAAAAGACACTACGAAACATTCTTGGGGGAAAAAAAAGGAAGAATACAAAATGACATTAGAAAGATGAGAAAATAGGAGATATCAGCCTTAATTTTCCCACAAAAAAACAACCACTAGACAGCTATCCGTTGATGAAAATGGCCCTGTTAGGGCTCAAAGTCTCAAAGAAGCTGCAGCAAGACAGTAAAGCAAAAAAAAAAATGTAGAATGACCACACAGACGGTATAGCTGAGGAGATCAGCATGCCAGAGATATCTGGAGACAGCCAAGAATGAGGAAGAGTGCAGAAACTATCACTATCAGCCATGCAACAGGTGCCACCATGGTTCCCAGCAGTCTGCTCTACAGAGAACACTGACAGTTCTCACCACTGAGGTAACTAATAACCACTGCCACCAGATAAGAGAAATGTTGCTCTATCCACCACCAGGAAGAAGCCACTATTGTTCCAAGCCAGGACTAAGGCAACCATGCCCCAGATCCATGTGTGACCCAGACCACAGAGTCACAATCTTTCCATATGTACCCAGGCTCCGGTATTGGCTAGAAGGCTGCATCATACACACCCATGCCTCAGACACCAGAGCCACCTTCACTAGGGGCTTAGCCCCTCCCCAGGCCCTAGAGCCATGCTCACTCTGCACCAGTCTGTGCAATGAACCCTAGCTCTGCCATTCCTCTATGAGTGCTATGTTTCAGATATCTGAGCCACTGCCACAGTAAGCTAAGCCACAGCCCAATCCTGGAACCACTGTTGCTCTGCATGTGTTCACACTCCAGTCCACATCTCTGAGGCTACAACATGCACATGTATAATATAGTCAACAGAGACACTGGCTTCACATGCTAGCCTTGCCCAGGGCCCTGAAGCTGCAGACTCTCAGTACACATGTGGGCTACAGCCTCGGCTCTGATGTAACCCTTTGAGACTCTGACTGCACATGCATCAGACATCAGAGCTACCACCACAACAAGCTAGCCCACACCCAAGGCCTCAGAGCAACCCCAGCTCTCCATCTGTGACTACATTTCAGAATGCGGTTCTGCATCCACTCAACAAGTGCCTGCATCCTAGACACCAGAACCATCAATGCAGCAGGGATATCCATATCACAGTCCTCAGAGCAGCAATAGACTGGCACACACCAGCATCTGGATCCCAGAGCCACTGTCAGTTCATACATGCTCGTGCTCCCAGATCCAAGCTGCTTGACCACTCCACAGATACCATGCATCAGACATTAGTACCACTGTGGCTGCAAGCACACTCACAAGCCAGGTCCAGCACGAAAGGATGTCACCTCTGCCACAACTTTCCTTAGGGAAGTAAATGAGATCAGAAGAATTCTGTCGGGCTTTGCCACTATTGCAGATACCTATCGCCTTGGCCACTGTACACCACTGAAATCTTTACCCACATCAACCACAGCTGAAAAAGCTACATGGACACTAAACTGCCACATTCTCATTGGATCCTAAATTGCCACACCCCACCCAGCTAGTGTATTCAAAACCACCCACAGGTGAAGATCTTTTCATACAAAACCAGTCCATAAAGTCTGGAAGCAGTGACACTATCAAAATCTGCCAAAAAATATTCAAATAATTATCTTAAGGAAGCTCAGTAATCTATAAGAAAACACTGATAGACAACTTAACAAAAATAAGGAAAAACAATACACAAACAAAATGAGAAGTTTAACAAAGTGAGATTGAAATCATAAAGAACCAAACAGAAATTCCAATGCTAAGGAATACAATGAATAAAATTTAAATTACAAAAGATAAATAAAAAAAAAGTCAACTGTATAATTCATCAAGGAGAAGAAAGAATCTGTAAATGCAAAGAAAATTATTTGAAAATATATATAGTTAGCGGAAAAAAAGAATAAAGAATAAAAAGGAATTTTAAAGGCTATTACCTATTGGATACAATGTTCACTATTTAGGTAATGGGTACACTAAAAGCCCAGACTTTACCATTACACAGTATATACATGTAAGAAATCTGCACTTATCTCCTCTAAATAGATAAAAATTTAATTTTTTTAATTCCAAAAAATAAATAAATCCTACAGAATTTATGGGACAGCATCACGAGTGTTATGATTTATATTATAGGAATTAAAAAGGATAAAAGAAAAAGGGGCAGAAAGCTTATTTGAAGAAATAATGGCTAATAATGTCCCAAATATGGGGAAAGATATAAACATCTAGAAAGATATAGTCTCCAAACAGGTGCAGTCTAAATTACATTTTACCAAAACATACTATAACCAAACTGTCAAAAATTAAAGACAAAAAAAGAATCTTGAAAGCAACAGAGAAAAGAGCATTCTCAAATACAGAATCACCATAGGGCTATCAGCAGTTTTCTCAGCGAAAGTTTTGCACTCTTAGAGAGAGTAAGAAGATATTTTCAAAGTTCTCGAAGAAACAAAAACAAACTGCCAGCCAAGAATACTTTACCCAGAAAAGTTGATCTACAAAAATGAAGAAGTGGTACTTTCTCTGACAAACAAAAGCTCAGGGAATTCATCACCATCAGGCTTGCCTCAAAAAAATGCTAAAGGGAGTTCTTCATTTTGAAATGAAAGGACACTAAGTAGTAACACAAATACATATGAAAGTATAAAACACACTAGTGAAAGTATGTATACAGTAAAATTACATACTATAATATTATATACAGTGGTCTGTAAATCACTTATGTCTACAGAATAAAGGTTAAAAGGCAAACAACATACCCACAGCTACAATAATTTCTTGAGGTATTCACAATATAAAATATATAAATTATGACATTAAAAACATAAAATGCTCAGAGGGGAGTAAAAGTATATCAACAAATTGCAAAGGAAGATAGCAAACAGGGAATAAAAGAACAAAGGATCTACAAAACAGCTAAAAAACATTTAACAGAATGGCAATAGTATTGGAAACCAATAATTGAACAGGAAATTGGAAACCAATACTTGAACAGGGGTGACTATATTTATATCAGACAAGAGACTTTAAGTCAAAAAAAGTCACAAGAGACAAAGAAGGTTATTATATGTTGAAAAATGCTCAATTCATCAAGAGAATATAACAATTGCAAATATATACATACCCAACATTGCAACACATGAATATATAAACCAAATATTAACAGATCTGAAGAGAGAAACAGACAGCAATACAGTAATAGCAGAGGCCTTCAATACTCTACATTCATAACGGACAAATCAGACAGAAAACAAATAAGGAAACCTTACATTTGAACTATACTTTAGACCAATGGACCTAACAGACCTATACAAGATATTCCATTCAATACCAGAATATAGAGCTTTCTCAAGTGCAAATGGAATTTTCTAAAGGACAGATCTTGTGTTAGGCCAATAAGCCTTATAAAATCTAAGAAGGCTAGAATCATATCAAAGATTTCCAATCACAGTGGCATGAACTAGTAATCAAAAACAGAAGAAAAACTGAAATATTTACAAGTGTGTGGAAATTAACACACTCCTGAACAATGGGTCAAAAAAGAAATTCAGGTTGGAGGGCCCAAGATAGCCAAATAGGAACAGCTCCAGAGTGTCGTTCCCAGCAAGAACAACACAGAGGGTGAGTGCTCACTGCATTTCCAAACAAGTTTTCACTGCCCACAGACCAGGAAATTCCTGGGCCGAAAAACGCCATGAGTTTTCAGCATGGCTGGAGCCACAGGTTGGCACACAGAAACTCTCACAAATCTGGGCGGACATTTCAACTGGCACCTG